CCCAGGCTAGGCTCAAATTTGGCATCCTTCTGCCTCAGCCTCCTGGGGTGCTGGGATTACAAGTGAACACCACCATGTTTGGCTCTAATTTAGCTTTTAAACATCCTTTGGTGTGTTATCTCACTGGAAGCTTCTCATTCATTTAGTCATTCATTCAGCATTTATTGCTCTCATTGGACTTGATAGAAATACAACGTTGAAAAAATGCAATTACCTGACCTCAAAATGCTCATGGTAAAATAAGGAGAAGGAGACATAAAGAAAATTGGGTCATCATAATAACAGGAGTACACATGGAGCAGTGGGGACACAGAGGGGAATGATCGGAAATCCAGATGCCACATCACAGAACTGTCAAAACAGGAAGGAAAAGTCGGAATTCACTGGGAAGAGAAAGGGAAGGGTGCCAGACATGTGCACATAAGCGTGGAAGCCTGGAGAAACATTATGTGGGACAGACAGAGGGACAGAGAGAGTGCTGCTGCGGGAGTGCTGCTGCGGGGTAGAAAGGGAAAGAGCTCAGAACCTTGTACATAATAGGAGTTCACACCACATTCAACCAAACCCAGTATAGAACCACATCACATTGAGCCACAATGTACCAAGCACAGAAGCCACCAATCAGTTCAAATCTGCAAGCCGAGCTAAGAGTCAGAGGCTGTTTTAACTGATGACTTTTCATTTTCATTTTAATTTGGGGTTAATGTGTAAAGGAGCCACAGCTTCCTTCACTAACGGCAGGCCGGAGAGGCTAAAGAAGGTTGACATGTCAGGAGGGATTTTGCATATTTCAGAAGGGCTGGTGACTCTGTTTTTGAAATGCATGGCTGAATGCTCCCAACAGAAGCAGCAGATAAGGAGAGTGAGCTCTCTGGGTGCTCCCAACTCAGCTTGTGAGGTGCCCTCTATTTTGAGCCTCTGTAGGTCTGGGGATTCCTTCCCTGCCGAGGCTCTATCTGCCAGGGGACAGGACACAGCTGGCACTGGCTTTTGCTTTGCTCCCTGCAGGCTCCACGTGGCCCCTAGCAGGAATGCCCTCTGTTTAAAGAGGGGGTGGGGTATGAGGAAGGTCCAGAGAACCCGATTCACACAGCCTTAGGAATCCTGAAAGCTCCAGCCGCCTCCCAGCTTCTTGCTGGAAGTAAATATCATGAGGACAAAGGGCTCAGAGCTTACTTGTCTGGAGCACTGACCTCACCGAATTGGCAAAAATGTATAACTTGACTTCACAGCCCTGGCCACCAGAGATTTATTCTCATTTCAGAGTGAGTTACTTAATGATCAGAGGCAATATCCATTGGAGCTTCCGTGGATACAAATAGTACAGAAAAACAATGATCCCACATTGACCTTTGTCATACTTAAGTCAAAAGTAGTATGCTAAGCTCTGGGAGAGATTCAAAGCGAAGTTAGAATAGTCACTGCTCTTTTAGGCTCTAGTGGGGGAAACAAAGCACAAACATTTACATAGTCTTAGCTTTTGTTTTTTGTGTTTATGGTGTCTGTTGTATTTTCCCCTGGTACCTTGTAGGTCCTTTCAGGCTGGTTCTTCTCAGCAAACAATAGCAGGAGTCCGAAGACCAGGCAATGGCAGAAACAGAGGATTTGTTGGGTCCAGAGCTACCTCCAGGTAACATCCCCATAACCCCGATGGAGTAAATGGGAACTGATGACTGCTGTCTGGACAGAGGCAAATGCCTGAGATGAAGTTTAACCGTGCTTGTTCTGCAGTCAGACATTGCTTGCTCAAGGCAGTTTGTAACAGTGAATGAATATCAGTTATTTCAACAATAACTAAAGCAGCCTGTTCATAGTGAAATGAATTGTTTAACTAGAAATCAAGGTTGTGGGGTTTCCTGCCATTTTTAAAAAGGAAGGCTGTTGCATTGCCTCTCTAGGGTGAGAAGCTGAAAGTGTAAATCAGAACCAAAATGTATAATAGGTATTGTGAAATAGGAAGAAAGTGTTCAAAAGGAAGGGGAACTAGGAAGGCGGAAGGGGGAAAGGAAGGAGGGGAAAAGAAAAAAAAAATGAGAAAAGAAGGATAAAATGGAGACAAAGGTTTGTAAATAAGGAGGGGCGAGGGGTTGAGGGGAGGGGAATGGGGAAAAAAACAGGAATCAAGAGATATCATGTACAGGTACAAATTCCCTATGATGAATGTGATCATTGTGTATATTTAAATTGAACCAGTATACTTATTTTTTTTAAAAAAGGCTTCAGAATATCAGTTTAGACTCTCTGAATGTAGCTTTTCTTACAGTGAAAAGGTAAGGCCCTTCTGCCAGGTGGCTTAGCTGCTCCTCAAAGGGTGCGTCCCATTGGAGTCGATGTTGGTGACCTTCTCCCTCAGATGACCGGTGGAGGCCAAAGTGATGGCCTTTTCTAGGAAGGTGGCAGGGAGGTGACCCCCATGCACGGAAAAGAAGGACGTATCACACCCTTGGTGTTTCTGAAATTGAGGAGGAAAAGCTTCCTCATTCCCACAGGAAGATTTCCTTCAGAGGAAAGGGAAGCAGTGTTTCTGGGTCAGGGGTTAATGGTCAGCGCCTGAAGTGTGGCTGTGAATGCAAATGGAAAAACTGCAAGTTTGGGGTCCACTTGGCTGACCTTAGTGCCCAGGGATCCTTTTGCACAGAAGATCTGTGACTCTGTCAGTGATCTGAATTGACAAAGAATCTGCATCCCAGACCAGGCTGCTGGGAATCAGTTTTCAAAAGTGAAACGTGGTGGCAGCAAAAAGCAAAGGCAGCCATAGTTCGTACTGGGTCCTGCCTCCATGCACCCCTCCTGCTTTCCTAGGATAATTCCGTGTAGAATGCTGGAAGAGGCAGGTGGGTATGGAGCAACTGAAGGGAAATAAGAGCTTTGAGTCATGTTCAGGTCAGTCCATTCCAGCTGTCATTTACTAGAAAAGTCCTACCAAGCATGATGTAAGTCAAAGATGGAATACTTTCTTCCTTTCCAGATGGTTTTTCATTTTGGAAATTGAAGAGATTTAAGCCTTGCTGTTTTATCTGACATCTTAGCCTTTGCTTTGGTTGAGAAATAAGCTTGTAATCTTTTATCAGACGGATTTCTGTTTATAAAGTTGAAATAAGGGCCCTGGGTAGACAAGCTTGTCCCTTGTTTTATACTTGTGGCTAAGAGAAGATGTAAATGTTCTTTACCCAGAGAGTTCCTGAGTTAGAGTGGCCATCCTTTTACATTCTCTCCACAGACAGGTCCTGAAGACATCCTGGCATTCAGAGATGCCTTTTGGAGCAGACTGGTGGGTTTAGCCTTCAGCTGGGCCTGGAGTAGCATGTTCTTTCTTCCTTCCTGCGTCTGCTCTCCAGCTGTAGCCCTGAGCCAGCAACCACTTGGTATTTAACTCTGGTGCTGTCGTGAGACTGAGCCAGGGAGGACCGTTCCAGTTGAGCTCAATCATGAAATGAGAATGTCTAAACAGAGGTTTGAAAGTACAAACTCTGCCAACTGTCAGGATGAGCACGAGGTGGCAGAGGTACTGACTTTGGCAAATACGTGGCTCCGCATCGGGTACTGTATGAAGTGTGAGATGGCTTCAGGTTGCAGCAAAACCAGTGCTAGAAGGTGCAAGGCTGGGCAGAGGGGGAATTTCCTGAGCTGTCTGGGCAGCCAGCCTGCATCTGGAGTGAGTGGCAAAGGCGGAGCCTCAAGTCCAGCTGCCATCCTGGGTCCCTGTGGAGTTCTTCAGGGAGGATGACCTGTAGGTTACATGCAGTGTCAGAGCCTCATGCCCTGTTTGTGTGAGCCTAGGGTGTCCTGTCTCTTGGGGATCATTTCTTCCCATTCACCTCTAGCCCCAGAAGGACTGGGTTAGGATGCCTTCCAAATTCTTCACCCCATGGACTTGGCTCTTGCCCGTCTTATCAGGCAAACAGCGAAGCGGGTTTTCTAACAACCATCCAAAACATAGTGCTTTGGTTGCTCCCTTTCCTTAGGATTATGGGCCCTCCCAGCCTTTCACTGCATGACCAAGGGAAGCCACCTGAGTGAATGTGTCTGTGCAGAACCACAAATATGTGCTGCTCGTGGTTTCCATTTGTGCTGTGTAAGGAAGCAGATGCTGATATCTCTAGTGGAGAAAGGGAATATTCCCCTAACTTAATCTCTTGAAGACATCCACCTTATAGGGACTTTCCAAAACTCTTACAATGCTTATATTTTTATCAGCCCTCTCATTTTATAGATGAAGAAACTGAGGCTCAGGACAAGGGGTTATTTGTCCTGGTTTCATGGTCTGTCTTCCTTTGCGTTTTATTTATTTTTGCGATACTGGGGATTGAAACTCCATTGGCCCACTCTACCACTGAACTATACTTCCAGCACATTTTATTTTGAGAAAGGGTCTCACACAAGCTAGCCTTGAACTTGGAAAGGGCAAAAGATTTATTCAATTTGAAGAGAAACCAGAGCATTAGCCTTGAACTTGAGGTTCTCTTGCCCTAGCCTCCCAAGTAGCTGGGATTATAGGCATGCTTGGCTTGATTTCTGCTTCTTGTCAATCCTTTCTTCATGTGGAAAGGCCTGTTTCCCCCCCACACGCAGCCCTGTTTGGGGATTTTTCTCTTCACAGTTGGTTGATTTTCTAAAACTTGGTATTTGGTGAGGAATGTCCAGCTGCACTGGCTTCTGAGGACTTCCAAGTAGAAACTTTCCATCTGGGGAGATATGTTGGACTTTATATTTTAGAACCGAATACAAAACATCCCATGACTCTGTGAAGTAGGGGCCCAACTAGGATGACCCCACAATGATCTTTTCCTATGGGTAGACAGAGCCCAGACCTCTAATTTTTTATGATTTCTGTTTGTCTCTAGTTGATGACGATGATCTCTTTAAAGAACCAATGAAGAAAAGACGACGATCAGATCGAGAGCAGTGTTTCCGAGCCTTTCCCTCGGTGGAACAAAGTGCTCTCAAGGAATGTGAGTGTCATGAAACTTTGACAGCTTGTTTTAACCTGTTCTGTCTTTTCAAAATGTGTTAAAATGCTCCAAGGAGGAGAAAGTTAAATTCCAAAGCTGGATGAACCAGTTCCTCTACCCGCCTCAAAGTCTCTGCAGGGATGTGGAATTTGACAATCAACTTGCGGGCTGTTCTGTTTATCAATACAACCATTTCCTGATTAGAACAGAGATGTGAAAATGGTTGGTTTGATGCTTTAGTGGGTGTTTATATGGTGTCTTTGCATTTTGTGTGTGTATGTTGCCTTCTGACCACTGCAAGGAGAGAAGAATCCAGAAGAGGCTGAAGCCCACCACAAAGCGTATGATGTCTTCTGTTATGAGAGCTGCACAGCAGGCTGGCTCCTTGGAGGGGTCAGAACCAACACTGCTGTCTCTAGTGAGACATTTTCTCCAGCATGATAGCTTGCTCTTGCATTTAATGGGCTTTTCATGTCATTTCTCCTTTCCCCTCTCTGTGATATGCAGCAGACTCCTCCTTTAGAGACCAGTACTTGATCTTTTCTGGGTACATCCCAGGTAACTCATTTTCTATTGATTCCAGATGAAAAATTGGAGTCACGGACCAGAAGAGTTTTGAGCAACACTTATCAGAAACTAATTCAGTCTGTCTTCCTGGATGACAGCATTCCTAACGGGATCAAGTATCTCATGTGAGTCTGAACTCCATATCTTCAAATTGGACGTCAGTGTCTTTCCTTAGCTGACTGAGGTGCTTTCCCACCACACCAGAAAGGAGTTTTTGTTTAGAAACTAAGCAGAGAAGCTGAAAGTGTCTGTAGCTATGGACCATTATCATTGAGAGTTGCTATCCATTGTGCCGTCACTGTTACAAGTGATCTGCCATGTCTAGTTTCTTTTCTGTCGACAGCCCAATAAGGTAGGAACTCTTAGGGTCACCTCACTCTATGGAAATTGAAGCTCAGAGAGGCTGAGACATTGAGCAGAGAGGGACGCACTACTGATGAGTGAAAGGGCCCCGAGTGTGACCCTGGCCATGTGACCTCTGAGCCTATTGTCCCCAACACTGTGCCCAGCTGACCTGAGGACTTGAGCGGTGCTAAGGTTACAATTTCCCCTGCTCAGTAAGACTCTGGGTTGCTCCTAATACTACTTTACCTCTGCAAAAGTTTTATTGGAGACAATAATTTGCAGTTCCCACAGAACACAAACAAGGATGTCGTGCGTCTATATCTATGTAGACAGTATCAAGTATTTTTGCATAGTCTCATTTGCTTCCCCGCCAACTCTGTGTAGGAAACAGGGATTAATGTTCCCCTTTGACCAAGGAGGTAATGACTTGCCGGGGATTAGAACGCAGTTCCTTTGTATTCTGGTCTGATATGCTTCCCGGTATACTTTGATCATCATAACAACGTGCATTTAAACATGGATACAGAAACAGACTTCTTGCCATGATTGAAAAGCCATCATTGGAGCCAATCTACATTGGATTATTTGGAAGCACTGGGGCAGGAAAGAGCTCCCTGATCAACGCCATCATCCAGCAAGCAATGTTTCTCCCAGTGTCTGGAGACAGCATATGTACTTCCTGTGTTGTGCAAGTGAGCTCGGGCTGCTGTGAGCAGTACGAGGCTAAAATCCACCTTCTCTCTGACCAGGCAAGTGTTTCTTCTCTTTTCCCTCCCTGCTTCTGTCCTTCCCTCCCCCACTTTCTTTCTTCCTTTTTCTTTTCATTTTCCTCTCCCTCTTTTCCTTTCCTTCTCACTCTTTTCCTTTCCTTCTCCCTCTTTTCCATTTTCCTTCTCTCCCTTTCTTTCTTTTTTCCTTTCTCACTCTCTCTTAGAGATTAACCCTATATTCCTTGTAAATCCAGCTCACATCTTTGTTGAATGAAAAGGAGCATCCAGAACCAGCAAGTTCAGTAGAGTGTGATGGGTTCCAGCCCTGGTCTTTTCACAGCTCTCCGTGAGACAGAGAGCCAGCCATAGCCCTCTTTGGATCCTTGTCTCTTCGTCAACAAAACAAGGGGTTAGAGGAGCTGATCATAGGTTTCCTGATGTGAATTTCAGCTCCTGCCTCAACCAGTGCAGGGCATCCTTCCTTTTATTACTCTTTTCTCCGTCTGGGTCATGAGGGGCATGGTCCTGCTCTTTCTTGGCAGGAGTGGAAGGAGGAGCTGAAGAACTTGACTAAACTTCTGCACAAGACAGAGGAGCCTGGCGGAGAGGATGTGGATGAGGATGTCTGGGACAAGGATGAGGCCATGGAAGAGGCCATCTGGAAGTTGCAAGTGGTCTATGGAACCGGGGCGGAAAGGAAGAACTATGAGGACTTACTAAGAGTAAAGCCCAAGGGGAAGATTCCCACCTCAAGAATCATCACCCTCAAGGCGGAAGAGGTACCTTCAAGATTTTATTTTCTCCATTTTATTATGAGTCTCAAATATAACAGTTGAATCTATTTAGGGGAGCACCCCAAGGTACAATATTTTTATTTTGAAACAAATTGGTACCCAAATGAGAATTATCCATGATGCATGTTATCTTTCATTATTTATGGCTGTAAAATTGGATTTTTTAGAGTCTGGGCTACATAGTGAGTTCAAGGTCAGCCTGAACTACATAGTGAGACCTTATACAAACAAACAAACAAACACTGTACATTTTAAAACCTATTTTTTTTTCTGAAAATTCATTTTTGAAAAGTTGTCATTCTATTGGTAAATCTGGTAATTATTGTAGAAAATAAGAACAATTGTTCACACTTGTCTTAAAATTTAATGTTCAATTGCCCCCAATCAACAAAACAAGTCCTTCTTAAACATTTATTACTATTTATGTAATTAAATTTCCGTAGACAGTTTGTATTATAAAGTTTAATGTATTTGATTCTTTAAGAGTATTTTAAATGCTCAAAAAGCACCTCAAAACCCAAATGAATGAAACCTTTTCAAAGCACTCAGCTATCTCTTGAATGCCTAGAAAATAAAACAAATACAGCAGCTTTGCAGGGGGTGGGGTGGTTCTGATCACTGAACCTAGGGCCTTTGCTGTACACTACATCTCCATCCCTTTTTTTATCTTTGGATGCAGGTTGCGAAGGTACTAAATTGCCCAGGCTGGATTTGAACTTTCGATACTGCTGTCTCAGCCCCCAGCATGCTGGGATTACATGTGTGTGCTACCATACCTGGCTTACAGTAGCCATTTCTTACATTTACATGGATATTGCTATTAAAATGATATTCTTATTTCCAAAAACACAGTTATAACACTGGTTACTTCATTTGATTACACACAATTTAGACAAAGATTTAGATAGCCTCTTCATTTCATTGCCATCGCTGTATTTGGAAATGTTTTTCCCAGTGTTAAAAGTTTATTATTGAAACAAGGGGAGTAGAGCTACCATTTACAAATTTACTTTTGCAATTTATGAATCAGAGGTTTTTGTTAGAGTCTAGACTGAGTTGAGACAATTCGAATTCTTCTTCCATGGTGGTCTGCTCGCAACCGCAATACACTGGACTGACCAGTCTTCTTGTAGAAAGAAGCTTTTCAAGCCCATGCCTCTCCTGCACATCCCTTGAATCATATCTGCTCTATTTTTAATTATCTTAAAGAACCCATACTATCTCTTCTTTCACAATTTGCCCTTTTATTAGAATTGATGAACTCCATTACTCTGTACACAGATTGCACTAAACCTACCAACTTGGTGTACACTTTTTAAAAATGAGCACTCTTTCTTTCAGGATCAGTCTATAGGTGTTTATTAGCAACACCACCATAAATCCCAAATCTGCTGTCCCGTGAAGTTTCCCCAGTTGTGATTCATTGCCATAACTGCTCACATGAATGTGTCACTGTCCCTTTTTAAGCAGGAACAGGAGGCTGAGAGCAGTTCTCTACCCCATGTACTGTTGTTAAAATGTCGTGAAAAAGCCGAGAACCATATTTTTTTTGTACTAAGAAGACAAGTTTTAAAAATATTTTAATGTTTGTCTTATTTTTTAAAAATCATTTTCAAAGATCAGTTTTCCAATTAATTTTCACTTCATAAGATACAGTGACCATATGACTATTGATATTTTTATAGTCATGGCTGGATTTCTGATAACTGAAATGTTCACGTTTGCTATGGGGGAGGAATCCACTGTCTACAAAATTGAGAAAAGTGTGTGAATTACATTCATTTTAGAATCCAGTGGAGTTGGGAAGGTACATTTATTATCCAGTGCTGCTATGACTTCCTGAAGTCCCCTTCTAGCTCACTTGGGTTTCTTCATCTCTAAATTAAGGACCTTGAACTTCTAGATCTGCAGCGTCCCTCATGGCTCTCAAAGTCTCGGCTCTGGCAGAGCAGATCCCGGGCCTGCTGACCCCCATTGTCCAGGCTTTTGTCACTGTCACTCAGCACACTTTCCATTACCCACATCCCAGCTAGCCCAGGGCAAGGGAGGTGGGAGCATGGCTGGTATGCGTAATGTTGTCCCTCCTTCTCAGGCAGGAGAGCTGTCTGTCAAGCTGGACCCCTACATCCGCACTCAGAGGAGGGATGGGGATGGAGAGTCAGGCGAGACAGGAATCTGGCCCTTGATCAAACACGTAGAAGTGACTCTTCCCAGATCTGCGCTGATTCCAGAAGGGATCGTGCTGGTGGACATTCCGGGCACCGGAGACTTCAACAGCAAGAGGGATGAGATGTGGAAAAAGGTGATTCTCGTTCATGGGGCTTCATTCCTTCTCCCCTTGACTCTTGCACCTTTTCTAACAACAAAGGATGTTCTGCTTTCAGTCTAAGGGCTTTCCTTGGACTTATTTCTTTTTAATTTTAATTTATTTTAAAAATAAAAGAAGGAAAACATATTAACAAACAGAGATCCATTTACAAAATAGCATAAAAACAATACAAACAATACAGAGTTACAGACAAAGTTGTAGGAAATTAACAATGGTTATTGTGTTACCTATTGATATCTTCAAAGTGGTTTCTCAGGAAAACAAATATTGACATGCAAGATTGATCAAACAAGTAATCATTAACTGTTCCTTTCAGTAAAGTGATAGAAGACAGTAGTAAAACTATGTTAGCTATCCTGTGTATACATACATACATAATTTCCCCTTCTTTCCCTTCTCTTTCCCATACCCCAGTTGCCCTTTACTTTTGAGCAGTTTCCTTTCATTTCACAATGTCTATCATACCTCCTAGTTTTTATTCACTCTTTCAGGTTCTTACACTAGTGAGACAATACGTTACTTACACATGCAGGTCTGATTTATTTCACTTATGAGTATGGTCTCTAGTTGTGACCATTTACCTATAAAAGCCTCAAGTTTATCTTTCTTTATAGCTGAGTAATATCCATTATATAAAAGTACCACAAGTCTTTTATCCATTCCTCAGTGGATGGACATTTGGGTTGCTTCCACAATTTAGCAATTACAAATTGCGCTGCTATGAACATGGGTGCACATATATTGCTGTGATATGATGTTTTCAGACCTTCTGGGAAAATACTCAAAAGGGGAATAGCTGGGTTGAATGGGACCTCTAAACCTAGTTTTCGGAGGAATCTCCAAACTGTTTTCCACAGTGGTGTCACCAGTCTGCATTCCCACCAGTAGTGGAGAAGAGTTCCTGTTTCTCCACAGCCTCTCCAGTGTTTGTTATTGGTTGATTTCTTAATGCTATCCATTCTTACTGGGGTGAGATGAAATCTCAATGTTGTTTTAATTTGCATTTTTTTAATGATTAATGATGTTGAACATTTTCTCATGTATTTATTTGCCATTTGTATTTCTTTATCTGAGAAGTGTGTGTTCATCTCAGATGCCCATTTTTGGATTGGGTCTTTGAACTGGGGAGGGGCTGGTTTTTTTAAATTCTTGTTTTTTTGTTTTTTTTGGTTTTTTTTTGGTTTTTCTCCGGTACCGGGAACCAAACTCACGACCTTGCGCTTGCCAGGCAGGCGCTTTTGCCCCTGAGCTAAATCCCCAGCCCCTTTAAATTCTTTATATGTTCTAGATAGAAGACCTTTGTCTGAAGGACAGTCAGCCAAAATTTTTTCCGAATTTGTGGGTTTTCTTTTTACTCTACTGGTGATTTCTTTAGATGTGCAGAAACTTCTCAGTAGGATGAGATCCCAGTTTTTGATTCTTTGAATTATTTCACATACAGTTTGGTTTTTGTTCATGAACTCTCTGCCTACCCCTGTCATCAAGGTTTTTACCTACTTTCTCTTCCAATAGATTTAGTGTTTCTGTTTCAATGTTGAGATCTGTGATCCATTTTGACTTGAGCTTGGTGCATGGTGATAGACTTGGGTCTATTTTCAGTCTTTGGCAGGTGGCAAACCAATTTTTCCAGCACCATTTGTTAATGAGGCTATCGTTCTTCCAATGAGTTTGTTTGGCCCCTTTATCAAAGATTAGGTGGCTGAGTGTGTTTGTGGTTGTGTCTATGTCTTCCAGTCTGTTCCATTGATCTTCTGATCTTTTTTTAGCCAGTGCCATGTTGATTTTATTACAGTAGCTTTATAGTATAATTTCAGGTCAGGGATTGTGATTCCACCTGACTTGTCCTTGTTGCACAGGATTGCTTTTGCCATTCTGGGTTTCATTGGAATTAAATTCTGCTTCTTTCCATGTTCTGGAATCACCGTGTAGATCTGGTGGCCGGAACAAGGGTGTGTGATGTAACAAGGGCCTGCAAAGGAGAGGCCTGTGAGTAAGCAGAGTACCCAAGCACAGAGTGGCACAGGCCATGAGCACTCAGGGTGCGGAACAGAGCAGCTAATCACTAAAGAACCCAGAGGCTGCAGTCGTGTCGGTTATAAGGAGCAGAAACCTGCTGAACTGACACCAAGCCCAAAGGAGCTTATGGAAAGGATACCGAAGGATCTCATGAGACACGGGCAGGCCTCCTCAGAGTCACCTATGAGGATCAAAGAGCTGCCCCTGTCTCTGTCTCTGCAGGTGTCTTGTGATTCTGCTTTCCTCTGCACAAACCCTGCTTCTGTCTTAGCTTTCTTTGCCGTATGGTTCCACCTGGCCAAAAATGACCATCTTAGCCCAGTCTATAATCTTGTAGTGCATGGGCCTACCACTGTCCAGTTTTATACCTTTTAGCACAAATTCCCAAAAGGAAGACTCTGATAGATTACTGCCCAGTTTAATGGATTAATCCTCAGGTTAGGCATCAGTCTCTACCCCAATTAGCTATGGCCGGAGGTGGTGATCTGGATTATGGTCCATCCCTTAAGCCAGAGGCTTGGTTATGAGTTCACTTCCCAGCAAGAGAATGATCAGGCACCTCCTGGATGTGAGCTGAGGAGGCTGCCCTAGATGTGTGGACGAAGAGTGAAGCATTAGGGAAGTTTAATCTGCACCTTATACTCAGGCGGTGAGGTACTTCTAAGAATGTATCTCTTTGTTCCTTTATCAAATACGCACAATATCCTGTGTGCTGAGAATGCAAAGATTATAGCTAATAGTAATAGTAACAGCAGACATTTACTGACCTGTGCTAAGTACCATTGTAATGGAAGCAAATTGCACCTTATAACACCGAGATCGTAGCCCTGCCAAGATGCCGCTGCACTTAACATGCACTGTTACCTTACATGGTAAAACTCAATGCAAAGTGGCTGAAAACATGCTGATTGTGACCTCTTATTAAGAATCACATGCAGCCATCCCTTGGTATCACTGAGGGATGTGCTGCAGGACCCCTTGTGGATACCAAAATTCTCAGATGCTCAAATCCCATATATCAAATGGTGTAGATTTGCATATGACCTACACATGTCCTCCTGGATTCTTGAAATCATTTCTAGATGACCAATAGGACCTAATACAGCGCAAGTGCTATGTAAACAGTTGTGCTGTATTGTGTGGGGAATGGAGGCAAGAAAATGACATACTTAGGGTGGGAAAAGCTTTAAAAGTATTTCCCATCCATTTCAGCATCCTTTGTCTTGGTCAGCTGACTCAGACCTGGCCATGGGAGCCTCATTTTCCACCAGGTCCTAGCTCTGGGAGTGGAACCACCCACCTTGGCTCATTCCGGCAGAGGCAGCCTGGGGAGGCGGCCAGGCCCTTTCTCTGGATGAAGCGTGGTTACAGACAGTTCAGATATGCTGGGCAGCTCATCAAAGCCAGCAGAGCTGGCTGGAAACACACTCCGAGGAGGGCGGCTGGCGCAAGGGATGGTGTTTGGCCCCGGCTTCTGCATTCCTGTGGTTTTGTGACAGCCTCTCACAAGCAGTTACTGAAGACTGTCCTGCTTCCAGGGAAAGCCAAGCGCAGTGACACATCTCACCGGCTGCCAATTCTGCATCCCTAAAAATGATAACAGATCAAACATCCTGGGTCAGCCACTTAGAAGTTGTGTGACTTTTGCTGTGTTCTCTAACCCCTTGGAGGCCCCTTGTCATCCTGGGGAAGGCTGGGGCTGAGGTGCCAGGTGCCATCCCACCCACTCTGCAGTCCAATCAGTCTTACTGTTTTGTGACTTCCACCCACCTTAACTGTATCAAATCCTGGCGCTCAGGAGCTTTGTGTGGGGCCTGAAATTGTACCACTGCAACCTTAATGATTGCAGCCCTTTTCCCAGTTAATATGTGCTTTACTAAGCACCTGTAGGTTTATCAAGACCCTGGGGAACACAGGGTGAGAGGCCCTGCCCCAGAAGAGCTCCCACCTGGGGCCCCTTGACCCTCCACACCTGCCTGGACAGTTGCTGCCCCTGTGGACACTGTTTCTCTGAGTTGGTGCCCTGTTTCACTGAGTTGATTATAATTTGAGAAGCAGAAGGGTGCAATTGTTCCTGTTTTCTTGTCTATTCACAAATAGAGGAGAGTCAGGCTCCCTAATTGGGTGACACTACTTGGTCACTTTGCCTCTCAGGGTCTGTTTTCTTCTCCATGGTCCAGAGGTTTGTCTATCTCAGGAAACATATGCTTTTTAAACCTTGAGCCGTGAGGCCAAAGGACTTGTGGACAGAGGGTGGGTGTATTGAGCACATGAGAGCTCTAGATCTTCCATTCCAAATTCAACCAAAGCAGCTGTGTTTTAAAAGTCAAGTTTATATGTTGCATTTTCCCTCTGTGCATTTACTCTGAGCTGGATACTTACCAAGGGAAAGGATACTGGTACTGCCTTGTCTTAAGGAGAGGGATCGGGGGACATTTTAGGGACAGGGAGTGGTAGAGAGAGCCACAGCGGGGGAGTTAGAAAACTTGCTCTCTAGTTCAAAAGCAGGTTTTAGGCAAAGCAAGTTTGAAACGCACTACTGTAGATCGAGGTCTCTCAACCTCATGATGTTTGGGGCCAAATAATTCTTTGTTATGCATAGCTATTCTGGGCATATAGGTCAGTTAGCCTTTGTTCACTAGCATCCCCAAATTGCAATAATTATAAATATGTTCAGCTATTACCAGATATCCCCCGGGCCACAAAATCTCCATTAGTTAAAACTGCTGGTATGAAGCACAATCATGATTTAATTATCAAGTTCCAAACTTGTGACACCTGTATGTGCAAAGTACAAATAAACTCAATACCTTATACAGACATAAGACAAGCAAAACAGCACAATAAGAAAAGCAGCACAGGGAAACGCATGGTTACTTGATACCCAGAAGTTGCATAGTTAATAAAGCAGTATATATGCTATTAGTTAGTAGTGATTTCATGTTCATTGGCCTCTGCAGCTTGGATCATAGGGTGTCTGGCTCCCTGCTGCCGCATGGTGGCCGTGTGCCCAACATGCAGGAAAAAACATCCAAAGGATGCCAAAAGCTGACAGCTTTGGGTAGCTGGACAACCTAAACCAGTTCTGTAGAAACAATTTATTTTCTCTAGAGGACAACAGAGGTGAGCAAGTAAGTGGCAGATCAGGAGGACTGATTTTGAGAACTCCGTCAATCAGTCGCTCCAAAGACAACTGCAAAGCTCTGGTGTGGGCCAAACACTGTGCTTGAGGTACTGGATTTCAGGATGAGAGGTGCAGACAGCCCTTTCCCTTCAGGGGAACAGAGGTGCGCTGCACGGTAGCTCTGACAGGTCCCATGGTAGGTAAGTCTGGGTGTTATAGACTCAGCGGAGAGACAGCAAGCCCCAGAACGGAGTTGCCTTCCCATTCTGACACCTAGTCCGGCATGTTCTACAGACCATTGATAAGTGCTCAGTGATCTGGGTGATCAGTGACGTAGAGAGAGTTTCTGGGGGAAGAGCCCATGAAGACCTTCTGAATGAAAGCATCAAAGCCTGCCAGCGTGGCTTCTGCAGGGACATTGCCCTGGTGGTCACCAAGACAGACAAACTCAACCTGCCGGAGTATCTCAGGTATGGTGCTGGGCTTGTGGGATGTGGGTGCCAGCCAGCGATTTTCTTCTCTGCGTCTTGACTACACTAATGAAAGAACTTGACATCATTTCAGGCTTCAGGATGTGACTACTAGGGGTGAAAGAGAAGCCTGGGTGACTTCCTGGGACGTTAGGATGCGTGGGTGGGTGGTCTCTGGAATCTGAACCACCTGACTCCCTGTCAGGTGTGCCAAGCCAGCTGTCCTTGACACAGCTCTGGGGTGTCACTCACATATCTGACATACAGTTGTTACAGTGTAGTTGGTACAGTGTAGATATGACAGTATAGATGCCTGACCACTAAGAGCTACTTCCTGTAAGACTCTGGTCTGGAGCAGCTTTGAAGTATAAGGTTTTAGTTCTGATTTGTCCACTGCTGAGACTTTTTTACTCATCTGAAAAAGAGCCCCCAAGTTTTAAAACTTTGGTCCAAAGTAAAATATTCTGTTACAGTAACAGTCTAACAACTAATAATGAAAGGTAAGTACCCTAGAGCTTAGTGTATGTTAGCAGATGTTGTTTTCCGTGTAGATCTCTGCTACCCCCAAGTAACCAGAAAACTTAGCTTCCATGTTGCGACACTTCTGAGAGTGTAAGGGGGCCCAGCAGAGGAGCAGCGGGTATGAATTGGGCCGTGCAGGGCACACAGAGCACGGGGACGTGGGATATGACCTTGCTGGCACTTCTCTGCTCTCACAGGACTTTTGGGCCAGTCTCGTCCACCATTTCCTCCTGCCCCAGGGAAGCTCTAGTCTAACTGTGGGGTATAGAATTCACACGTTCTCATGATCTGGGTCAGAATCTCAGTTTCTCTTTTTCCCCTGGAGTTTTGCCCTACTCCACTCTCTACCATGAGATAGTATCTCAAACTCATCCTTTCTACTAAACATAATGAAATCTGATTTGATAAGTGTCCATTGAATTGTGGTAGGAACTGCAGGTTGTCTAGTCTCTGAACTCTTGGTCTAAAAGAGAGTTAAGTGGTATAGGAAAGGGACAAGCAAAGTCCTGTGGGGACCCAGGGTGAGAGGGCTGCCTTCCAGATGGGATGGGAAGGGAGGCCGCAGGAAATTTCAGAATGCAAAATCTGGCTCATTGATGAAAAGAAGGCATTTTTCCCCAAATAGACCCTGGAGGTGGATCAAAAAGGGGATATTGGACCAAAGTGAGCTCATATAAAGACCTAGAGACATGGTTTTTAGGAAAAGTCAGAAGACTGCTGGGACATATAATAAAAGTTCAGTAATTATGACATTTTTCTAATCTCATTTCAGGGAAAGAAAAGTGGGAACTGTAAGTATGGACCAGTTATTTTTCAACAATACTTTTTATGATCAGTACTACATAATACCAATATGCACATATTTGACAGTCTGGATGTCTTACCATTTCATCACTATTAATAACCATAGCTTCTTTGCATGCTTTTTATTTTCTTTCACAACCTAGCAAGTTATTCAAAATCAGCAAGAGGCGGTTTTGGAAAGAAACAAAACAATAAAACTACAAAGGAGTAGAATTCTCAAGGAAAAGCTTAAAGTAAGTTTACAAATTTTCCTATGTATTTTTTTTTTCTTCTCAGCTCCTGGAGTTTGAGAAACAGATGTGTATTTAGCCTTGTGTATTAGCAAAGGCAGAAAGCATAAGAGTGTATCATTTGGACTTAACTCTGCCCTATTGCTTAGTACCTCTGAGACTTTAAGCAAGTTATATTACCTCTCTGAGCCTCCACTTTCTCTTCTGTAAAGTGGAGAGATAATAACTTCTGCCTCTGTGATTGTGATTGTTAGAAGGATTAAATGAGGATATGCTCTCCTGAGAAAGATGTCTAGGCAAATCAAAGATCACTCTACAGCTTGTGTTTCCCTATAGAATCATGGAGGAAACACAGGAAAGATGGCTGAATCACACAGGCATAGGGGAAGGTGGTATTGGGGAGTGGTTCAGGGAAAATTTCCAGCCTCTTGAATGGAAATGTAAAGAACCAGTAGTCTTTAGTAAGGTGAAGGAGTAGGGGAAGGGGCACTTGTGGCAGAGGCAAGAACATGATGAAGTAGGCTGCTGATTTAGCCACTTTCCCATCACTAGGACAAAATACCCAACACCCACAATTTGCAGGAGGAGGGGTTTATTTGACTCGCAGCCTTCGGTGGGTTTAGTCCATGGTTGGCAGACCCCAAGGCAGAGATGCCATGGTGGAAAGGAGCACAGCTGCTCATCCGATATCTGCCAAGGAGGATGGGGGAGAGAGAGGGAACTGGGACAAGAATATACCTCTCCACGTCACATCCTCAGTGACCCACCTCAAACCAGACCCCCACATCCTTATAGCACATTCAGCTACTGAACTTATCAATGGGTGAATCCCCTGATGAGTACAGCGCCCCCATGATCCAATCACCTTCCACACACATGAAACTTTTGGAGGACACTTTAGATCTAAACCGTGTTTGGTGAACTTTGTGTGCATAGTTTTGAATGAATAGCTCAGCAAAGTGTGTATGTGGTGCGGGGGGTTGTTGTTCGGGCTGAGCTGCATTTTCCAAGCTTAACTAATCATTCTGTGGGAACTTTAGTGTTCCCTTAAGTTATTTTTACTATTTTGTCACTAAAATAGTGCAAACATAAAACTTCTTATTATAATAGTCTTATGCAGCTGCAGCTATACAATGGAAACCAACTTTAAGATGAAATATAAAGAGAACAGAAGTGATGTATCAGAGTATTATGTGATAGATGATCTGGTTTTGCCAAAACTAGATCTTCAGCGCTGGATTGAATGGTAAAAACATTTGGCCTGTGTCTTGTTCTATATTCAATGGCTTTCTGTCCTTTGACTTCAGTGATATTGATGCAGAAAATGTCTTTGTATTATGTATATGGAATTGAATACGTGAAAGCTTTCTTTCTAATTCATTGTGACCAGGCCAACTCGTCTATTAAACAATTGAATGCCAGTTTTCATGAGGTGATAATTCAGTAGAGCTGCTCTTGATCTTTTAGTCTTGTTGATATTTTAAAAAGTACACATTTTACAAGGACCTAATCAGATTATTTGTGGAATGGAAAACAAAATACTTTAATGCACAATTCACAGCTAGCTTTACTGCTAATAAATGTGGCAAATTGGTTTGCATGAGAGTATCTGGGCAGCAGGATGTCAGCTTGTGGGGCAGTGCAAGTTCTTTTGAGGTCTACAAATCCTATTGTTTGAATGACTGTGAAAACTTCACTTGTAGTACATGCCTTCATTGGGAGCAAATTTAATTTTAATAATAAAATATGAGAAAGAAGGTTATTATGAGGTAGTCATTAATATAGTTATTGGCTGATATTTTTTAAAATTATAGAGTGAAAATTATGAAAACCAAAGACAAAGACGCTGGGGGTGGGGGTAGCCCAGTGGTAGAGTCCCTGCTGAGCATGTGTGAGGTCCTAGATTCAATTTCCAAAGATGAAACAAACAAACAACACTACCACTAGGGAAAAAGAGCCCCTAGACAGCCTGGGACAGAGGACTAGGAAGGCACTGGGAGAAGAAAAACGAGGTCAGAGAAGGTGAGGGAGAAGAGTTAAGAAGGAAGAAGGCTCAATCTTTTTAAAGCTGCCAAGGAATCTTATAAGGACTTAAAACTGCTCATTGGTTTCAGTGAGCTGATCCTGCATGAGTCTTCAGGGTGAGCACCAGATTTGAACCTGGGTTACAGTGGGTTGTGTCAGCTCCTCATTCGAGAGACTGATTTGTCAAGAGACAAAGAGAGGGAAGGATGGCCTCACGCACCGTGTTAGCTTTCTCAGTGCGTAGGCACAATATCCAACACTCACACCTTAAGGGAGAAGAGGCTTAATTTACTCACGGTTTCAGTCCATCGTCAGTTGGTTCCAAGGCAGAGACATCATGGTGGAAGGGTCTAGTGGAGAAGAGCTGCTTAGTTCATGGCATCAGGAAGCAGAGCAGGGGAGCAGTGCCAGGGCAGAGGGGTGAAGGACCAGACAGAGACCCCAAGCCCCCTCCTCCATGACCCCCTCAGACATACCTGGACGTGTGCCCCACCAGCCCCAAGGACAGATCCCAAAGCCAAACAAGTTGAAACTCCACTGCCACACACACACACACACACACACACACAAATTATTCTAGGCACGTTTCCCTGCCTGCTAGTCAAAACAGCCCTTGCTCTCAGTGCTAGAAGGAAGGAGTGGAAAGAGAGCTTTATTATGGTTTCTGTTCTTCTTATCCTTCCTCCGAGCCTTGGGAGACTCACCACGCCTTAGTCCATTTGGTCTGGTAGAGCAAAAGCACCCTAGAGGAGGTGACTTGTAAGCCACAGACATTTCTCACAGCTTTGGAGGCTGGCACTCCAAGATCAAGGGGCTGGCACATTCGGTGTCTGGCAGATGCCCATTTCCTGACTCACAGAGTGATGGTCATCGTCTTGCTGTGTCTTCATGTGGTGGAAAGGGTGGAGGGCTTTCTTTTTTAAGGGCACTAATCCCACTAGGAAAGGCTCCACCCTTATGACCTAATCACTTCACAAGGGCCCCACCTCCTAAAACCATCACCTTGGGGGTTAGGATTTTATCATACAGATTTTAGAGAAGCACAGATGTACAGTTCATAGCATTCTGAGTGACTTGTTTCATTTTTATCAAGAAAGCTTATTTTCCTAAAGCAATTTGAATGGGGACATTATTTGACTAGGGAAAAACACTAGCATTTTTTTAAAACTGAAGAACATAGGTTTTAACATTGTCTTTTTGGCAGATAAAGCTAACAAAACCTTCCCCTTTCTCCCAAAGCTCTGGAATTTTCTTAATCTGTAGGCTGGAACTTCCCTTAGCTTTGACATCTGGAATTTTGAAAGACACCAAGGGAAATCATAAAGACAGCTTTTCATAACATGTGTGCTGAGAACAAGGCCGAGGCCAGTGCCGGTGACCCCATAGCACATGCCCTGCCCCTTGCTGGCTTGTGAGTGGCTCTGGGAGTATTCTGTGCTCACAGAAGACTCCTGGTCATGCTCAGAACAGCCTTTGGGACAAAGGTCTGTCGGCAGAAGACAAGTATGGCAAACGCTGGCCTGTTGGACCAGCTCACTGTAGGGAAATCACTGGAGCAGGGTGTCCAGGCATTTCAGTTAACACCCACTATAGATTCAAATCAGCCGTTCCCTGGCTCATTCAGCTCACTTGACTATGAAAATTACTGATGGCTGTGCATAAATGAGGCTTTGTCTGATTGAAATCATTTTTATTTAAACTGTCAAAGATCATTGGGAGTGATTACACTCAATTTATAAGTCTTATTTACAACTCTAGAAATCTTTGGGCAAAAACTCTTGCTTTGATTCATGCTTCTTTAGCATATACAGTTGACAGGTTTGATTCCTTCATGAAATTGCACCATTTTAAGCCCAATTATATTTCTTACAGACATTTTAAACTATAGTCATGAACTTTGGTCCTACAAATACCTGTAAAAATAAGTGTAACATACACAGATTATGGTGCTTGCAAATCATTTCTGAAACTCAATGTAAAATAATTTATACACAGGATTTGGTTCATTTCATTATCACCTTTATAATTATTTTTATACCTTTAAGGCTGCAAAGTATCTTCCCCTCCCCCTGGAAAGCAAATGTTTCATATTTCTAAAAGATCTAGGATATCTCCAATTTTAAGGTATACCACAATTTTATGTCTCTCTAAAAAAGAAAAAAAACCTTCCAATTAAACTATGACATAATGTTTTCTTATTAGAGTTTTTATTTTATATTATCAAAAGAGCTGTATTAGATTAGGGATCTTTTAAATCACATACACTCTTGTGCATCAAAAATAATGAAAATATAGTAAAACATATTGGTTAAGATATTTCTGCAACTGTTTTTCTATTCAGAGTCCAACTCAAATCATACTTTTGTTTTTGTTTTTGTGATGCTGGAGACTGAACCTAGGGACTTGGCTTTTTTGTTTTTGAGACAAGCTCTTGCTAATTTGCTAAATTGTTCAAGCTGGGCTCCAATCCTCTTTTTTCAGTCTCTCAGAGTCCTGGGATTATGGGTGCGGCCACCCCACCAAGTTTAAATCATGCATAAGGGAGTGCTCAGGACCTTTCTCCTAGCATCATTCTCTGTACTTGCAAGAGTACTCCGTGGTTGTCTCTGGGAGTTTCTTCCAGGCCACTGACCTACACTGTACTAGTTTTGATCTCAGGACTTTTCTGCCAGGGTGTAAGATAGGCAATCACTTTGTACCCATTTCGCGTCAAAACCTCACCCAGTTTCATTTACATGTGGGGGTTTTTCTTTGCCAGTCCTAGGAGGCCCTTGATGTTGCTTTTTGCAGGAAAACCTGGAACTATTGCCCGTTCCATGAACCATGAGCATGTTTTTAATTAATATCAAATGTACACCTTGATTTTCTCTTTCTGGGCTTTTTGTGTGAACAGTAGTTTTTCTTTCTCAGTGCCGACTATAATCTTCTTAAGTGGGCATTAAAAGGAGCAGCACCAGCAATGCGCATAACCCCTTGTGGAGGGGCAATATGGGCATCTGTGACCAAGGTCACTCACACACAGGGCTGGAGTGCTGTAGCAGAGGCCCCCAAGCTGTGCTGGTTGGAGCAGCAGAAGTTTTTCTGTTTTGGAAGGCAGATGTTCAAAGTCTAGATGCTAGCTAGCAAGGCTGTGCACCCTGACAGTGCCAGGGAAGGATCTGCCCCATGGCTCTCTCTAGCTTCTGGTGGCAGCATGACTCAAGTTGTCACATGGCATTTTTCCTCTGTGTGTCTCTGTGTGTAATGGTTGATACATTTTGTCAACTTGAGAAGTTTAGAAGTTTAACTCAGCGGGAGGCCAGGGTCCTTACTTTGTAAACATCCTCATCCTATGCAAGAAGAAGGCATGGAGATGGTGTGAGTGCTACGCTCACCAGAGGTTGGGTAGCCTGCTTACAGTATAAGGGAGGAAAAGAGGCTTGCTTCTCCCTGCACTTTGCTCTCCTTGCTTCTGCTGTCTTCTGCTGCCTTGAACTGTTGCCTCGTGCCACGCCACCCTGCTTTGGAGCCAGCTGATTATGGACTGAAACCTCCACAACCTGTGAGCTAAATAAACCTTTCCTCCTTTAACTTTGGATATTGGGTATTTTGTCTCAGTAGAGAGAAAAGTAACCAAGACACTCGGTATGCGAATGTCCTCTTGTTATAAGGACACCAGTCGTGTCGGATTTGGGGCTCACCCTATTCTGGTATGACCTCATCTTTATTTCTTGTGAGTGATCCAATTTCTATATAAGGTCACATTTGGAGGTATGAGGGATTAGGACCTTAACATATGAATAGGAGGATCCAATTCAATACATAATCTGGGGATTTCTGGTCTAATACACAGGCACGTCTGTTCCAACCTTCGCTACACGTGCTCACAACTTGCAAGAGGTCTGGCTTGTGTCCTCAAGCAGTCAGAGAGGACACAACAGAGCAGGGCCCCTACTAACTTGCTCTCTTATATCAGAAAGAGATTAACAGCTCTACTTCTGTCTCCCCCAAATTCTCTCTCGCTCCCTCTCTCGCTCTTTCATCTTTTTCTTGGAGTAAGAATAATAAAGGGTTATGGAACAATATTTGTATTTGACGTTAGCCTGACTTCTTAGTGATGATACTCTTCGAATCATAGAAAAGGGTTTGCGCACATAATTCTGAATTTCTTGACATTTAAATCCTTCATGTCCTTAAATACTACTCTGCTTTAAAATGTATACAAGAACTCATTAGCCATCTGGGTAAGAGACTTTCACTTTTCTAAGACCTTTGTCCAACGTTGTTGAGCAGGTAGTGTTTAAAAACCAAATCTTGGGGCTGGGGATTTAGCTCAGCGGCACAGCGCCTGCCCAGCAAGCACAAGGTCGTGAGTTCGATCCCTGGTACCGGAAAAAAACAAAAAACAAAAAATAAAAAACAAAACAAAAACAAATAAAAACCAAATCTGTATTTAACAAATAATAAAAAAACCTCTGATGTGTACCGTTTGCCAATTCCTGTGGTGTAAACACTCCCACCTTTGCCTATTTCATTTAGAATTATGCTACTTCGAGGGTGCCTGGAGAACTTAAAGTGGGTGGGCTGGAATTTGCTGAGGTTCTTGTGAAGCGTGCATGGTGTTTACTTTGCCTGGCTGACCTGCTCTCTTCTCGATGTGTCCCTCTTACTTCAGAGAAAACTGCCAGCTGACTGCAAGGTTCTGGAAGCCTCGGACCTGGTGTACACGGTCAGCGCCCATGAGTACTGGCAGCAGGCTCTCCTCACCGAGGAGGAAACCGGTAATTTATGTTCCTTACCTCAGTCACTAACTTTGCCAGCTCTAAGCTTGGCATTCTCAGTAACCTTCCCCAGAACTTTTTTCTCCAGTTTGCCATGTTTTCTATACCTATTAGCAAACATATATACAGGTGTGGTCAAAAAGTACAGTGAATGTTGCTGCTCATAGAAACATAACCATGTGTCCTCATCCACCCGGTTCACCGGATGTGGCACTGTGTGATTTATAGCTTTTCTCTGAAGTTGAAATGACCATGAGAGGGAGACATTTTGAATCAGTTCTGGTCATCAAGGAAGCCACAACAGCACGAATAAAGACACTCCCAAAAGAGGACTTCCAGAACTGCTTCAGAAAGTGTCAGGATGGTGGGATAAGTGTACTGGAAGTGAGAGCGTATTTGGGGGGAGATTTATGGCAATGTGTCTTTTACTGTAATGATTTTTAAAATTTAAAATATCATGTTTTAATCATATATAATGCATAATATATATTATATAACATATATTACATTTATATTATATATTATTTTCTCATGGCAAATAATATATATATATTATTTTCTCCCTGCAATCTTGGGGAGCCCAGGACCACACTTCACCTCCATTCATTTTTCCTTGAAATCTTACCATGGGTTGGCAAAGGTCAAGGGATCAGGTTGTAATGTCTGTAGTATGTAGCTTGAGATTCCTCACCCACTCAGTCATGGACATTAGTTGTAGTTTCTGAGTGTCTTATATGCTCTGTCTTTGAGGAAAAAGAAAATGGAAAGCATGATCCCTTTCTTCATAGGACTTAAAGTCTAGATAAGGAGCTAATACTAACCAGTGTGCAAAAATGAAAAGAAAAGCCTGACATAGTGAAATGATGCTATCTCTGAGTACTCGCTGACACCTCAGAGAGTCTTGAGGTCTGCATGGTCTCTGTGCTTTGTGACAATTCAGCGAGCAGGCAGGATCCATGCTGGACTCCGATCTGAGCCTGAGGTGGCTTACGATGGCTGCACAGTTTACTGGATGCGTAGATGTATGTGAATGGAGCTTAAGAAGCAAAAGGTGTGACATGTTCCCAAAACTGGGAGAAGTGCTGGAATAAGGTGTCAAAGGCAAAATTAGTGTGATATATGCATGGCAAATATTTTTAAAACCTGCCATGCGTAGAAAGAAAAAAAAAGCGTAGGTGACATCTATTATTGACCCTAAGTAAGGTTAGTACACAGGCAAGATTGAGCTACGCTGATGGTAAGAGCTGCTTGGCATAGACAGAGACATCTGGAAGGACCAAAGAGCTGAGAATAGAAATAAAAACTTTTGCTTCAGCTCTGCACTGTGGACTGATCCAAGGGAAAGTGTCCATTTAAACAAACAACAACAACAAAAAACAGTCTACTTTCCTCTGAATTTTGTTTCGGACAGCTACATAAAATTACTATCCAGCCAATCTGCTGCTTGTTGTTGATCCGAGACATGAAGAAAGTGTCCTTCAGAAAGTTGGTTTAGTGGGCAGCAAGCCCACACAGGCCCAGCCAGAGTTCATTCAGACCACAGACCTGGTCTTTCACTGTTATGAATTCTATGAGTTACAAACTTCTGGCTTTTAAAATTGTCTGCCTTGCCTGTAAATTCCAGAAATCCCAAAGTTAAGGGAGTACATCAGGAAAAGGTTCTTGGATAAGAAGAGGAGGATGGTGACCAAGTATGTTACAGAAGCCTTTGGCCTGCTGCTCCTCACAGACAGCTTCAACTCCATGGAAAACCTGCCGGTAATAAAGACCCTGGGCTTCCATTCTCTCCACCCCCACCAAGGGAGAACATCCCTTTACCGTGTCAGGAAATTAACATGTGACTTTTTTTTTTCTTTTCCTATCAAAGAAGGAAACAAATCTCAGACACACTAAGAGGACAGAAAGATAATGCAAAGGTTAAAACCATTACATCTGGATAAAAGAGATATTTTATGTTATAAAATGAAATTTTAAATATTTCACCTGGACAGATGGGCCAAGAGAAAAATGCAAAAGTATTGGCTACTTTCCATCTCTCCTGAGACCTGGACAGGACAGAATGTGTTTAAATGACAGTTTACGTGTAGTGGACTATGGATGGTTCTCAGTTATCTTGGAGAGGTGTGTTTATGCCCATGTTCCAAAAACATTTTGTCTGTCTGTGGCTTTGCTTCAAAGTCCTAAGCTCAGAGCCACAGCATAGTCAAATAATGTGAGAGAAAATAAACCAACAGGGATTTCACCAAAAAGATTCAGTGTTTATCTTCAGTGTCTAGAATGCAGGCCTTTTGAATGATCAGCTAAAATGACATTCCTCATGGGAATGGACAAATTTATCCCTTTGATGTATTACTTTAAAAAAAAAAAACTACTATGAGGGATAATCTACTGAATAGAGGTTTGGGAGGGTTATGGAAAAAACCAGTCCCTCTGCTCAATCATCAACTGCTTTGTTTGGAAGAGAAAATACACAGGCAATAGCCAGAACATACATAAAAGCAGAGCTCTGGTCCACAAACCCACCCAACCTGCCCAACAAACCAGTCCCTTGCCTCTAATATCCAGCCCAGGAAGCCAAGTCAGACTTCCAGGACCTCAGACTGCCCTTGGTAATAATCCAAGAAGCCACATAACAACTTCTGTGACAGTCAGCTCTAAATGGCCAGTTTGGGATGAAGAGCTTTCCTAATCTTTGTCCCTGCTTCTTACCTAAAACCAACTAAAAAAGGCAAATCTGCCCCCTAAGCAATCAGACAAGAGGCCCTGCCTGCAGGTCGCCCGTTTCTGGCCCACAGCCCCCTCTCAGGGCACCTGGAACCTTCCCTTTTTCCATTCTAAAGCTTTCTCGCTTCTCCACCTGCCTTTGAGTCTCTGCCAGATATAGGTGCTATGCCACCCCCCACCATCACCACCACCACCACCATGGCAAACACTTTGCTTGCATCACTTGGCTGATCTTTGTTTTCTTTGTTTCTTTCTTTCTTTTTTTTTGATACCAGGAATTGAACTCAGTACCTCATGCTTACTAGGCAGGTGTTGCACCACTGAGCTAAATCCTCAGCCCCTCTTTATTTTTACCTTTGCTTTCACCTAGTAGAGTTGTGCCATCAAGCTGTCAAAGTTCTTCTTGCGCTAGGAGAGGGGAGGGCAGAGAAAGTTCAGCCATAGGCCCTATGGTAGGTCGAGGGCCTGGTCCTAGAATGGGGACAGGGAGCTGAGGGGAGCCAGAGGGGTGACAAGGAGAAGCAGATACTGCAGATCTGACTTCCACATGAAAGGAAGCATTGTTGGCTGGATGAACTTTGCAGTTTGGCCAAATGCCTACCTCGAAAACTTCTGTCTAAATATGACCTAGAGAGCAAAAGTCACCATCTCTTTCATCGTATGCCTTGTTATGGTCTAGTTGTGTGAGGCAAAACCAAAATGAAACGTCTGGAATCTGAGCTTTCTGATTTGACTTTTGTCCTCTGAAATAGCTGGGAAGAGGTTTGACCTTCTAACTTCCTGAAAAAGTTCTTCAGGGTGAAATTTTCCTCTCTGCCCAACACAAGATTGCTTTTGGAAGTGCTGATGGAAAATGAATCAGATGTGGGCTGTGTGTGGTTGGTGGATTTCACAAACCCAAGGGCAAGGCATTTTGCAATCAAAGCCGGGAGTGCCTCCCCATGTGCTCTTCTGTGCTTCCCCCACATGCGCAGGTGCCTGGGGCGCAGTCCCATCCCACCACCCAGAGCCAGGCTGCGGGAGACACAGAAGAGGAGGGCACTAATTGGCACCTCTGCGACCGACTCCTGAGGGAGTTGCCAGCAGCTTTCCTCAAAATTCCTTGGCCCAAAATATGCATCTTAGTTCTTTGATGGAAAGTTGGAAGACGAGTCTTGTCAATGCCTTTGAATTCTGAAAAATCTAACCTAAAAATGTATGTGATTGATCATTTTTTCAAGATGGTGTTGGAAACCCAAACTTGAGGGTGTGGATAGTCGGTGATCTTAAGAGTCATTACTTTTAAGAATCAGTAGGAAGTTGATGATGGCGGCTCAGTGTCAAATGAGCCCTGAATTTCTTCATATGGAGTGCCGGCCCCCACCGCCTTTTGGTGGTGCTGGGGATTGAACCCAGGACTTTTGTGCTGAGCTACGTCCCTAGTACTTTTTCATTTTTTATTCTGAGACAGGCCCTTGCTAATTTGTCCAGGCTGGCTTCAAACTTTTGATGGATTCTCCTGGCTCAACCTCCCAAAGTGTTGCGATTACAAGTGTGTACCACCGCACCAGCCTAGCTTTCCTTCTCTTGCTGTTCTTTTATACTCAGCTCTCCCCTCTGTTATCATTCATTTCTTTATTCAACAGGGATTTATAGAGAGAGACATAGGAGAGTCTTGCCCATGATTTTTATTTACGTGATCCCTTTCTTTCTTCATATTGGTCTCCAGTGACACCATGAATCCAAAAAAATCTAAAGGGAATTCAGGGGGGGAAAGTATGTCTTGTAAAATTATTACTGAGGGAAAGCTAGGGAACTCCTCACAGCATACCTGAAGCAAAATCAGGGGCTTGTAGAATGGTAGAAGTCAAGGTTCTTCTGCATCATTCAGCCCAGGTTGCTTAAACAATGATGAGTTGAGAAGCAGGGCAGTTCAGTTACCCTGTGAGGCTACCCACCCATTCCGAGCTCTTCTTGTCTGTTTGGAATAGGCCCATGCGTTGCCCTGCACTGGGCCCTGAGATACACAACATGGACCCCAGTCTGCCCTTCAGCGAGTCCCTCATCCAGGAATGAGCATGACCTTGTCAAAGGGATGGATGGCTGCTCTGGGAAGTCAGGAAAACAGCGCAGGCAGTGACTTGGAAGCTTTGCCTTGAAGGGCAGGAAGCGGGAACCACAGCGCAGAGGCACAGGGGCACGGAGGGACAGCGTGGTTGGGGTGCAGCGGAGAGCAGAAACATGGAAACAACACCCAGGATTTGCAGGCAGATTTATTTATGGCAGTGGGCACTGATTGGGATCACTCCCAGAGTATCAGGCCCGGATCTCTGATGGTCTAGGGCTTAGATGGGATAAGCAAGCAGGAAGTACAGAGGCAGAACGGCTTGTCATTGGGGATTGGCTTATACAATGTGCGTCATAGTAATCAGCCATGCATCACAGTGACCAGCCATTTCTAAGAGACAAAAGTAACAGGAACTACTACCTGGGAGGACATGTGGGGCAAACAGAGCAACAGCAGCCCAGGATGGGCTGTTTGAGGGCTCTGTGGAGTCCTCCGAGGTTCTCCCAGCCCCACAAGTACCACTTGGAAACTAGGAGGCAACATTGTCCTTGGGGGTTAGTTTCTTGCACTTTTAGTGCATTGCTTATGGATAGGGACATGTTCAGGGAAATGCACCCTTGGCCGGCATCATGACTGTGTGACAACCTCAGTGGTGCAGCCTAGTACACACTCAGGCCCTCACGTCTTACCACTGCCGTGTTGCCATCCATCGTTAATTGAAACACTGCTGGTGATGCATGACTGTATGTATTTTTTCCCCAGTATTCCTAAGTGAAGAAGAGACCAGGGCTTTATTTCTGTGATCCAGTGGCTTTGCTAGTCAAAGCATGGTCAAGGCGCAGGAGCTCAACTCACCTGGGGAGCTGCCTAGAAGTGTAGAATCCCTGCTCCCTGGCTTCTGAGTTCTCCGGGTGATTTGCATGAACATTAAAGTGTGAGAAACATTATCCATGAAAACTGCTTTATGCAAAGCTCATTAAACATTTATCAGCTCAGATGTCCTTGGAGAAATCTGTTGGGCAGTTACTTCCCCACCCAGCCGGGGAGAATTTATACCCAAAGCAAATGGCAGGGGGTATCTATTGTGCTATTCTGCAGTTCCCTGAAGCCTAAGGAGATTGGTTCATGGAGGTCCTCCTTTTGGGGCCAATAAAGAGAGGTCCATTTAGGTGATAACCTCAAGCCAAGTCTTGTGTTGGTGACAAATGGAAAGGAAGCAGAATTTGAGGAGCAGGCGCCTTTGGGGAGGGTCTAGCCTGATGCTCTCTTCTGGCCCTCATCCCTAGAATGAACACTTGCACTTGAGCAGCCTGCGGAGATTTGTGGAGGAGAAGACAGTGCTGCTGGAGAGGGCCATCGAGCAATGCTTTACATTCGTCGAGCGGCCTCTGCAGGAAGGGGTTCTGGCGGCCAGGGCTTCCTACCGACGCCTCCTTGGGGCACACCTGGTGGTGAGTGACCCGTCCCGGGAAACCTGTGAGGTAGCTGGATCCCCAAGCTCCTGTTTTACTCTCCCATTGCTGTGAGGTTACATGTACAATAGCACAGATGGGGCCGTGCACCTGTGCATATTTAGGGTCCCAGGGAAAGCACCAGCCTCACCAGATGTCCACTGCAGAGCTTTGGGCCAGGCACTGAACCACCTGAGGCCTTAAGTCCATTAAAACCTCTTAGTGTTCTCTTCTATAGAATGGGGTGCTAAGCACTTGCCCCACTTATCCTGGGCATTGATGTCAATGTGATTAGTATACATGAGATAAAAGCGTCCCTTGGTGTGCTAGTTGTTTTATTTCTTAGTCAGTCGTATGGGATTTCTGAGAGATGCAAAGATAAATGCATGAGTTCATCTAAGACGAAGGGAGAGAAAAAGAGATTTCATGTGGCTTAAATGACAGACTTTCATATTCTCACAGTTTGGGGACTGGAAGTCCAAGAGCGAGCATCTGCAGGGGCGGCTTCTCCAGCAGCCTGTCTCCTTGGCTTATGGATGGCAGCCTTTTCTCCCATGTGTGCACTCTCCTCTCTTCCTATAGGACACCAGTCCTAGTGAATCAGGGCCCACCCTTGTGGCCTCATGTCACCCTAATTATCTCCTAGAGGTTCCATCTCTAATACAGTCACCTTGGGGGTTAGGACTTCAGCATGTAAACTTTGGGGGACACAAGTCAGTCTCTTAACGTCTGTTGAAAATAAGGAGTGCTCAAGTTTATCTTTCTTTATAGCTGAGTAATATTCCGTTATATAAAAGTACCACAATTTTTTTATCCAATCCTCTGTGGATGGACATTTGGGTTGCTTCCACAATTTAGCAATTACAAATTGCACTGCTATGAACATAGGTGCACATACATCACTGTGATATGATGTTTTTAGATCTTCTGGGAAAATACCCAGACGGGGAATAGCTGGGTTGAACTACTGTCTTCTAGTGTTTGCTGAAAGAAACAGTTAATGATTACTTGATGGACCAGTATTGCATGTCTCTATTTGTTTTACTGAGAAACCACTTTGAAGATATCAATGTGTAATACAGCAAGCATTGTTAATTTCCTACCACTTTGTTTGTAACTCTGTATTGTTTGTATTGTTCTTTTGTTATTTTGTAAATGGTTTGTTAATGTGTTTTCCTTCTTTTATTTTTAAAATAAATTTTAAAAAAGTAAGGGACAGTGTCATACACTGTGGTATGGATACTGTACATGACCTTATTCAACCCTCACAACAATGCTGGTGGCCACACCAGTATTATTATTTGGAAAGGCCAAGCGCGAGTGAAAGATTGGTGGCATTTGGTAGGCAGAGGACCCGGCTAGCATTCTGATGACAAAACACATCTGAGAGCTTACAAAGGGCTCAGTCTAACTGTCGCCTGAATTTCTTCTTTTCCAATAAGAAAACCAAGGCACGAAGGTTTGTTAAGAAGGAAGTCATCTGATGCTCCTGAGGGGTCAAGGAAAATGACTGGGTTTGGCCACTGAAGGTGTTCATTGGTGACAGTGGTGGGCAGCCTCCAAGGTGACCTGTGCCCCCCCCCCAGGTCTCCCTTGTTCCTGCCACATGGTCTCTGTGACCAGAAGAGAGCTGCAGAGGGAATAGTGTGTGGTTTCTGGGCCAGGTCATCAGCGGCCACTGAAGCCTCCGCAGTGGTCCCTTGGGACGCTTGCTCAGGGGGAGCAGGCTCTGTGTGCCGAAGTCAAGCTGCTATAGGGAGGGGCTGTGTGGAGCGGGGCTGGGGCCTCCCCCCTGTGCTGCAAAGCTGGCACCACCTTGCCAGCCATGCTCATGGGGAGCAGATCTGCCAGCCCCCTTCAGATGATGGGAAACCCACCCACACTTGGGTGAACCTCATGAGATGCCCTGGGCCAGCCAGGCCATGGCCAAGTAGCAGTCCACAGAATCTGAGCATCATAAACATTCACTGTACGACCACACGTGGGAGAATTTGTTTTGTAGTGACAGATAGCAAAGTAACCCCTTCTACCTATGGTATGTGAAGACAAAGGCAAAGAAGAGACACCCCTTGAGACACTTTGCTTGTGGAAGGAAGGAATGTCTGCCGTCTGCAGATCCCCATGACAACTGTCCCCTCTTCCACCCACTGTTTATTTTTTCTCTGTGACTACAGCATGTGCAAGGTGCTCCTACCTCATAAACAAGATTCCTTTGTGATCAGAAAGATGGGCAGACATTTATATACTAACATCATCTCTTAACTGTCTTAGCTACTTCTCTGTGACTGAGACATAATACCAGATGCCCATGACTCTAAGGAGGAAACGTTTAGTTTAGCTCCCAATTTGTAGAGGTTTTAGTTCATAGTCGGGGGTTGGGGATTTAGCTCAGTAGCACAGCACCTGCCTGGCAAGCGTGAGGTCGTGAGTTCGATTCCCGGTACCAGGTGGAGGGGGGGAGTGTTAGTTCATAGTCGGCTTGCTCCAGGGCAGGGTGGCATGGCACAGCAGAAACAGCTCATGGCATGGCAGCTGGAAGCAGAGAGAGAGATCAGGGGAAGAGGGTAGGAGATAAACCCTTCCAGGCCACACTCACAGTGAACCACCTTGTCCCAGTAGGCTTCACCCAACATCGCATTTACCTATAAATTCAACAGTGGACTGATCCCCTGATGAGTGTCATGCCCCCATGAGCCAAGCCCCACCTCCCAAAGCCCCATGAGCCAAGCCCCACCTCCCAAAGCCCCACCTATGAGGGCATGAGGCTTTGGAGGGACATCTAATTATAAACTGTAACACTAACATAGTAAAATAACCCCAATAAACTAAATGTCTATCTTGATTACTTTTCTCTTGTTGCTGAGACAAAATACCTGATGCCCAAAATTAAGGAAGGAAAGGTTTATTTAGCTTACAGTCTGTGGAGGTTTCAGTTCATACAGTTGGCTCCAAGGCAGGGTGGCACAAGGCAGAGGGCAACTGTTCATGGCAGCAGAAGATAGCAAAAGCAACAAGTGCAAAAAGGGAGGAGAAGTGGCAAGCAGCCTCTTTCCCTCCCTTACGTTATATGCAGACTATATGCCCCAGGACGGGTGCAACCCTCACACCCATAATCCCAGCATTGGACTATGGATCAATCAAAAATGTAGAAGCCCGCCCCATGACTGCATGAGGACTTGGGGGGACATGCAGACACAGACCATAACATTCCACCCCTGGGCCCCCAAATATACTCATGTGTATCTCTTTATGCAAAAGACATTTTAGTCCATCTCTAAGAGTTGCCAAAGTCCTAACAGTTCAGCATCGCTGAAAGTCCAAGTCCCAAGTCTCCTTCGAGTTGTAAGGCAAACTCTTAGTTGCAAGCACCTGTACAAATGCAAAGTTGAACACTTCCAACACTCAAAGGCACGAAATAAACATTTTCATTCCAAAAGTTACAAACAGGAATACAAAGGAATGGGAACAAAGCAAGTCCAAAATCCAGCAGAGCTAACATTAAGTCTCTTAGTTCCATGTGGAACATCTGAAGCAATCTGTGGTAAATTGTGCTCCAGAGGGCTTGTGTGACTCCACCCCTACAGCACTTGTGGTGGTTACAGCTCCCATGGCTTTTCTCTTAGGCCCACTTTGCTCCCTCCTTGCAGCTTTCCTTAGACAATCCACGTTCCTGGCTTTTCCAAGCTTCTGAGGTCTACACTACACCTCTTGCTTCACACTCACAGCTTCAGATACTGCTTTCTCACGGGCACACTGTCTGGCTACCCAAGCCTTCTGAAATCTAGGTGAAAGACTTCTTAACCTCAGAACTCTTGCATTCTGCATGCTCTTAAACCAGTGCCATGTGGATAATGCCAAGGTCTGCTGCTACCTGGCAGTAGCCAAGCTTTCCTCTCTCTTTGCCATAGGGGCAAAGATCTTTGCCTGATCTTTGCCTGGATCATTGGGCACTCTGAATCCAATTCTGAGGAACAAATTCTCTATGCTGCCATTCTGGAAACTGGTGCGGCCACCACTGCCATACTGGAACATGGCACTCTGCAGCTTTCTCCCCAAGGCAAGGTCTTTCACCTTTGCAGTTTTGAGGCTGCAAAGGGTGGAGACTTGCTTCTTGTGATCCCCTCAGGCCATCTTTTCTATTCTCCTGTTCTTTCTCAATGATGGAGATCTCCTCAACCCTATCTTTGCAATCCACAGCTTTACTGGAGCTTCCTTTCTGGCCAAGCTCACAACATTTTAAATCATCCTGCTGGGCTCTTTACTCTTGATTCTCAACATAAATCTGGCTAAAAGCCCCAACAACAGCCATGCCACTGCCTTAGCATCTGACTGCCTTGAAATTTCTTCTGCCAGATTAATTAGTCCACCACCCTTAATCTCAGTATTAGGCAAAGTGTCTGGACACAAGCAAAATGCAGACAAACTTTCTGCCAAGCCATAACACACATCATCTGGAGGCCAACAACAATACAGTCCTTCCCAGCAGAAACCTCTTGAACCTGATGTTTACCGGCAGGATTTCTATCAGCCTTCTGGTCTTCTGAGCTCTGACCAGAATCTCACATACAGCCAAAGGTGTTCCAGCTCTGCTCTTTCAGGTGACATCTCCAAACCTTTCCAAACACTTCCCATAGGCCATTTCCAAAGGCTCTTGAACCGCATGGTCAGATACAGTCACAGCTACAACCTCATTCTGCTGGTACCAAATTCTGTTTTGGTTACTTTTCTCTTTTGCTGAGACAAAATACCTGATGCCCAAAATTAAGGAAGGAAAGGTTTATTTAGCTTACACTCTGTGGAGGTTTCAGTGCATACATGGCTGGCTCCAAGGCAGGGTGGCACAAGGCAGAGGGCAACCATTCATGGCAGCAGAAGATAGCAAAAGCAACAAGTGCAAAAAGGGAGAAGTGGCAAGCATCCTGTTTCCCTCCCTTACATTGTATACAGACCATCTGCCCCAGGGTGGGTGCAACCCTCACACCCATGATCCCAGTGTTGGACTATGGATCAGTCAAAAATGTAGAAGCCCACCCCATCACTGGATGAGGATTGGGGAGGACATGCAGACACAAACCGTGACAATATCTAAAAATAAAAGAATGGTAAAATAAATTATTTTTTGAGATAATATGGTGGATGGCTATTAAAATGACTTTTTGGAATATACTTACCATAATTAAGGGGCAGGCCTATGTTGTAATATTACATAGAGTGAAGAAGAGGGAGAGACAGTTGTGCCAATCATATCATACTATGCAGCTATTCACTCAACACATATTCCCTTAAAACATACATTACTAATGAAAGATCACAAAGGCTTCTGTTAAAATTTTAGCAAACATTTGTATTCTTACTGATGACCACTCTCTGGCTAAAATTGGTTACTATCTCTTATTGCTCTGACTATAATATTTTCCCTCTAGTTTGTGAATTTGTTTCCCTGGAGGAAAAATATCACTAAGATAATCAAGTCAAACTGTGCTTCAAGGTGTAACAATTGTGCTTCACTGTACTGCAAAAAACACACTAAACTAGGGACTATCCTTAGAAAATTCAAGACATCTTGTATGTATGTATATACAGGATAGTTAACATAGTTGTTCTACTGTCTTCTATTTCTTTGCTGAAAGAAACTGTTAATGAGTTCTTGATTGATAATATTGCATGTCTCTATCTGTTTTCATGAGAAACCACTTTGAAGATATCAATATGTAATACAACAAGCATTGTTCATTTCCTACCACTTTGTTTGTAACTCTGTATTGTCTGTACTATTCTTTTGCTGTTTTGTAAAAGGTTGTCTGTCTGTTAATGTTTTCCTCCTTTTATTTTTAAAATAAAAAAAAGAAGAAAATACAAGACATATGTTTACTGTTGGGTCACAGCCCACTTCACTTCTTTCTTCATTCTACACTTGCTCATTTAACAAGTGTTTGCGGATAAGGATGGATGGGACGTTATTCCTAATCTCAGCAAGCCAGTGGTCTAGAATCAGAACTCGACAAATGGGTAAACTGATGAATGAAAACGTGTACAGGGAGAGTTGTGATCAGAGTGCTCCTGGGTCACTTTGGAAGCCCGTGGCAGGGGCTCCCAACCCACATGGAGGTGTGACTGCGCTCTTCCCGGCCTAGCTGAGTGGCAGGTTAAAGACCTAGTGGTTTCTGCTCCTTCCTTTGTGCCTCAGCAATGGCCTTTGACCAAAGGCAGTGCTGTTCTACCCCGCTGGCTTTCTAGTTAATGCCTCCTTACTCTGCTAACTCACTGCTTACTTGTCTAGAGGAGCAGAGGAAACCAAGGTTTTCACCAGACTCTGAAAGCTGTTTGCTTGAAAAATGGCATCTACGCCTCCAGGACCCTGGCCAGAATCGACCTGAATGAAGCCATCACCCAGCCCATCTATGACCAGATCGACCCTGTTTTTGGAGCCATTTTTAGGTAAAGAAGATCTTTCATCATGAACAAACTTTTGAAGAATGCCAAGCCAGAGTATCAGTTTTGAGATTTATACTTTGGATTCGGGAGTGTAAAGAGTAGCTTGTAACTTGAGGAGAGAAGCTTAGTCTTGGCAAAACACAAAAGCCTTCTCGGTTTGCTTTACTTAAAAATTTCCCATGGTGACCTGGAGTACAGACTGAGGTGCTGCTTTAGACTAATATTATGATTGCTATTATTTTTCAAATATCTCCTACGTGCGGCAGGGGATAAATGTTCTCAGGGACCTGAGCCCAGGACAGGGTATTTTGATTGGAGAGCGTGGAATTAAGCAAACACATGGCCTTCAGAACCTTCTCCGAATGCAAACAGAAGTGGCTTGCTGACGACTCTGCTTGCTCACACACATGGGTGAGCCAGGGCTGAGGTGCCTGTCTGGTGCCCCCTCATTCCTGACCTCCAGCTCCTTCCTCCACCTACAGAAGGAGCTCCTCCTAACTCCCAGGCTGCTCCTCTGGCTTTTCACCTGCGAGACCACCTGCTGCTGGCTGAGCCCTTCCCTCACCTTGGCTGTCTTCCTCAGCACCGCCTTCCTCCCCTCCCTTCTCTTAAACTCAACTGGGACCACCACGCCTTCCACCTAGCCCACCCCACCCTAGGGGACTGCTCCAGAGCATAAACACTGAGTTCCTTCCCGTGGTGATCAACACATCCCGCCTGCCTCCACCTTCCTTTTCCCACTGTCACTGCCCGTGGCTTAGTGGTGCCCTTTGCTAGAGCCTGCCTGGCTGGCAGGGGGGCAACTGAGATGTCATGGGCACTGTGCTGAGCACCTGCGTGCTTTCTTTTTCTTTCTATTTTTGCAGTATGGGGCAGTGGCGGTGAACCTATGGCACGCATACTGCAGTGGGCACACAGAGCCCTCTCTGTTGGCTATGAGCCAAGCCACCCAGCATGTCCCCAGCAGCTGAGCATTCAGATTTAATTGCAGCGCTGGCCCTTGGTGATAAGTGAGTGGGTTTGGGGTTGCATTTGGGCACTCGGTCTCTGAAAGGTTCACAATCACGGGAATAGGTTCACCCTGGCTCACCGTCACTGAACCTAGGGTATTCTACCACCAAGCTACATTCTCTGCCCTTTTTATCCTTTTTATTGTTTATCTGAGGGCAGGGTCTTGCTGAGTTGTCCAGGTGGGACTTGAATTCATGGCCCTCCTACCTCCTAAGTTATGCTGTGTGCCATCATGCCCGATGCATACACGTTATCTTGTAGAATGTGCCCAATCACTTGAAGTGGCTCTGTCTTTTTAACCTATGAACAAACCCAGATCCAGAAGAATTGCCCGGGTCATCCAGCTCCTGAGAAGAGCTGGGCTTTGAAGCCGGCTCTGTGCTCAGTGACCTGTGCTTCTCACTCCTAGGGTGTTGTGAAACTTGCTTCATTGTCTTGTCCTTCGGAGAGTAACTCCCCCTTCTTTTCATTCCCCAAATCTTACCTGTCTCTGTAGGTGTAGTTCTAGTTCCTCTCCTTTAAATGGTGATTCTTTGTGAGTGGAAAGACAGTGAGTTTTGCAGGGGGCAGGAGGGCATTGAACCCTGGCTCTGCCTCTGGCTAGCTGTGTGGCTGTGAGCACATTGGCTGCTCTCTCTGAACCTTGACTTTTCTCATCTGTAAAATGGGCCTTATCACACTGACTGTGTGGGTTTTTGTGTCAGAGACCTGGCCCAGCACAGGATTTGGATCACTATTAGATCTCATCACTCTGCTCTTCAAAATGAATGGAAGAACACCAGCCAGTTTCATGCCCTCTCTGCCCCATGGTAGCCACCTTTGTCTCCTCAAATTTTACGTTGCTTTTCCTGCAGGGCTGGGAATGCCCCGGGCTTGGCCTTGATGCCTCACATAGAAGCTTTCAAGCACTCCCTGCAGGAGAAAATGACAGAAATCGGGATGAGAAACGGCTGGAAATATGATGGCTACACAAAATCCTTCCTAATCCAGGAGGTAAGTTCCTGTGAAGAGCCTGGGGAAGTCGGGAAGCCACGGCTCCCCAGGCAGGGCTTGGAGGTTGCCCATCTCTCCCTACTTGCACCCCTGAGAGTCCAGGGTCTGGACGCTAAGCCACAGAGGTGTAGGACACAGAGGGGGGTGTATTTCGCAGTAGGAACCGGAAGTGCATGCCATGGGTGAAGTTCACTCAGTTCCCAGGGAGAATCTTCAGCGAATCCTTATTTGCACCAACTTGTAGCATTGCCACCAACCTCTCTATCATGTTTGTTGTGTGATGAAGTAGAATCCAAAGCAGCAGAGCTTAAGGAAACCAGGCATTATTTTTGCAAATCACTTGTTAGTTTTGAACTATAAACTAAGCACAAGTTCAAGGCCAGCCTGGGCTACATAGTGAGGTCAAGGTCAGCCTGAACTGTAGAGCAAGACCCTGTCTCAAAAAGCTGAAACGGAACGTATTCAGATTTACACAACTGTGCCCCAAACAATTTCTATACCTACTCTCCACAAACAGTAAATCACAGCTTACTCATTTCCCTTTGGCCTTTTAAAATCTAGGATTGTCCCCTCCCATCTCGTCTTGTTTGCTTCTCATGATCCTGACTTTTTATCTGTGACCCACTTTCTCCCAGGGTCACTCCAGATTTACATGGCAATACTAGGGCCATGGCTGGCGTCTCTCCAGTCTCGCAAAGAGAGCCCTTGCCAGGATGCTGCTGCTGGTGCCTGGTTTAACTGCGCACATGCTTAGCGAGCGGTGTGCAGGGGCCGGGCACTATGGAGCTTTTTGAGGCAGGGCCTCAATATGTTGTTCAGGCTGCCTTGTAATCCTTGTGTAGCCCGGCCTGGCCTTGAACTTGTGATCCTCCTGCCTCAGCCTCCTGAATGCTGCAGGCAAGTGCCACCATGCCCAGCATGAAGATGTTTAAAACAGAGGTCCTGCCTATGTGGAGCTCACGGCTGAGTTTAGAGCTGAGATTGTTATGAAAAACAGACCAAACACAGGAAGAAATGGCATCAAGAAGGTTTAAGAGGCAGTTTATTACATCTGTGGGCTTGAATGGGTTCTCTCCCAGAGAGTTAGAGCCCTGCCCAGAGGGGTTTCAGGCTTTTATGGGGAAGGCAAGCGGGGAGGTACAAAGGCAGATTTGGCACATATGATTAGAGGGTTGAATGACCTCTTGGGTTGCTAAGGGAGTTTAAAAATTTCAGATTACAAATGCAAGGCTATCAGTTATATAAAGTGTGGGTTACACAAAGGAAGAAATGTCCTGTTACATTTTTAGTTACATTGCAAGGCCATCAGTTACACAAAGACAGTAAAGGGGTTTACACAAAGGAAGGAGTGTTCTGTTACTGGGCCTGCCGGACATGTCTGCTTGGTCTTGTCGGGCATCCTGGGTAGGCTTTTATTTAAAATTTTAATTTTCCCCTTCAAGATGGCATGAAGACAGGCAGCCACGCACAAGGTGGGGGAGGTGGTGGCCGCCCACAGGCACTTGTGCCCAGCCTCTGTCAAAGGAATTGTCACAAATGTCTTGTTTAACGTGACTCCTCAGATAAGTGCCATCCTAGGAGGCTTGGAAGGCTACATCCTCCGAAAGAAGAGGAAGATCTATGAGTCTGTCACTAGCTCTGTCCAGAACGACCTGAAGCCCTGCTATGAAGGTGGGGCCGGGGTGGCACGTCCTCTTCTCTGGGGTCTTCCTGTCGCTCTCTGGCATCCTGTCCTGCCGTGCCCCTCCGTGGGTCTGTCCTCCAGGTGCTCTAAGTCCTTGGGACAGGCTCAGCCTGGACATTGAATCAGATAATGCAGAGCATAAGAAGTTACTTTTTTGATGCTGGGACAAAATACACAACATGAGTTAGAGGAGGAAAGCTTATTTAGCATAGTTTGTAGAGGTTTCAGTCCATAGTCGGCTGGCTCCAAGGCAGGACGGCATGGCAGAGGAGAAAGAGCTCCTGGCAGGCAGCTGAGAAGCAGTAGCAGGGAGTAGGAAGGATATATATCTATTTGTCTGTCTATCTATCTATCTATCTCTATCTATCTATTTATCCATCTGTATATCTATATATCTCTCTATACATCTATCTGTACCTATCTATATCTATCTACCTCTATTTATCTATCTGTATATCTGTATATCTCTCTATACATCTATCTATCTATATCTATCTTTATATCTATCTCTCTATCTATATATACACTATATTCTTCATATATATATCCTAATATATAGCCTTCATATATACATATATCCTCCCAGCCACCCCACAGTGACCCGCCTCTTCCCACCAGGCTTCACCTCCCAACGTCATGCTCAGCTACAATCCATCAGTGGACTCATCTGGTGTCACACACCCATGTGGCTTTGAGGGGACATCTAGCTATACATCATAACGCAAAAGAGTAATTGAGAGATCCTGTGTGTGTGTGTGTGTGTGTGTGTGTGTGTGTGTGGTACCGGGGAGTGAACCCAGGGCCTTCACACTGAGCTACAACCCCAATCCTTTTTTATTTCTTATTTTGACACAGATTCTTGTTAAATTACTAAGTTGCCCAGGGTGGGCGCTAACCCGCCTCAGCCTCCCTGGGTGCTGGGGTTACAGGTGTGCACCACCACGCCCAGCTGAGGGGTCCTCATTATCTCTGTGCTTTCCAGCCTTGCTGCCCACCTCTTGTCTGGACGCCTGCCTATCCTTTCCCGGCTGTCTCAGCATCTGGCTCTCCTCCTTGGTTTTGTTTGGGGGTGATTTTGTTAGCTTTTGCTCGATTAACTGCTTAGGTTCTCTGAATGATAGTTCTCTAAATATTGACTGTTATTTGTGTGTGCGCGTGCACACACACACGTGGATATGTATTCTTCTGTTTGCTTGCTTTTCTTTACGATGTCACGGATCTCTAAGCACATCCTCCTGGTGTGACTGTACTCATCCTTTCACCAGAGGCAGCTCAGATCGCTGGCAAGAAGGCGTGCGAGAGGACGAAGGATGTCATCAGAAGAGGGGTGGAGCGGCAGGTGGCCGAGGGCATGTTTGAAAGGGCACAGGAAAGGATGCAGCACCAGTTTCAGCTTCTAAAGGTATTTGACGTCCCCGCCCTGTCAGGGTCCCAGGGATGCTGGGGGTGGTGCAGGGAGCAGTGCACAAAGTGGCCTGAGGGCAGCTGTATGTTCTGCCCTGGGGGCTGGGCTTGCCCCGGTGCCCAGCCTCTTTCTTCCTGGCCTGGAGCTTCCCTCCAGGGCTGGGGCTTCAGAAACGCAGCCCTCCACCTCTCCCCAGCATCTCTGCTCTCTGCAGTCATCGGTAGACCCCAGCTAGAATATCTTGGCAGGTGCTAAGCTCACCCATGCGTTAGCTCATTTAACCCTGGGAGTCCGTGGGTGGGTGCTATTCCTGTTCCCATCCAGCGTACAAGCAAACTCAGGCAGAGAAGTTCCCAGGCCGCGCAGCTGGTGAGATGCAGAGCTAGAAAGTGGAACAGAACCCGGGTGCTGCATCACGAACCACAGAACAACCTCAAGGCAGATTTCTTTTTTAATGAAGGAAAGAACTCACCTACATAAAATGTCAATAAACATACACACAGTTGAGTACTACCCTGCTATAAAGAAGGATAAACCTGAGTCATGTGTAGACCTTTGAGACCATAATGTTATGTGAAATAAACCAGGCACACAAGCATAAATTTCATATGGTTTCTCTTATAGGAGAAACCCAGAGTATAAATAAATTAAAGCTTTATCAAAAAGATGGGCAGTAGGAAAGCGAGAGAGAGCTCTTTTGCGAGTGGGAAGGGCATGAAGGGAGGGAGAAGCAGGCAGAAGAGGTTGCAAAAAGAATCAAGATGTGTTATGCATGCGTACCAGCCCCTCTCTGGCTATTTGAAAATCCAAATTCTCTCAGTGGAACCTGAGCTGCTGCTCACTCCCAATCATCTGGGGAAGAGCTGACCAGGGGTCCTGCCGGTCCATCTCTGCCCCAGCCTTCTGGAACATTCTGACCTGCTTTTCACTGCCCCTTCTCTAATTTTAGAAAGTGTTTGTCTCCCCAGTGCAAAGCAGGGACCGTGTCTGAGGGTAGGCTGAGAGCTATCTCACTTCCCAGCACAGTTTAGCTCCAGTCAATGAACATGTTATCACAGTCTACGAATGCACGCAGGCAATGGGCCAAACTCCGCAGAGCTGATTGCCACTGGATATGTAGAAGTCACATTTTAGGTCACTGAAGAAAACAGCTTCACTTAGAAGTCAATAGTACATTGACCATCATGAATATATCTTAAATCACAGAAATATAGGTAGTTACAGGTAGGCAAGACTCTAGTGTAATCCTACTCCTCAAAACTTTTTTTTAAAAAAATAAGAATTGCAATGAATGCTTACTTGATTAAAGTATTTGAATTTTAAATAATGGCTGGGCTTTCTTTTTGAAAATGTTTTGAAAAATGACCTCTTATTTACTGTTCTTGTGACCTGAAGAATGGAGGGATATTCTGTTGAAGGTCCTGATTTGTCTCTGATGTATTCCTCAGCCGCATGGCTTGTTAATTTGTTTCCACTTTGTAGTGGAACCACAGTGAACCACGGCTTTGGGAGCAATGGATCTCCATCAAGGGAGCTGAGGCCTAGAGAGGTTAAGTAACCAGTAGAGGTCTACAGCTCTTGACCTGGCATTGAAGAAAAAGTAGGAAGATTTGGAATCAGATGATCTGCGTTTAAAACTAGATTCCATTCTACCAGGCTAGAGAGAGGAGTTGTATGTTTTCCAGTAGGAGGCAGGAGACAGAAGAGGGAAGCAAATGGTTTTAGTTGAGAAAGGACTTCATGTAACAAGAAGACATTTCTCAGGCGGTTGGGAAGAGGAATCAGACCTCTCAGTCAAGGTGTGTTGCACACAGCAGGTGCCCCACAAGCCTCTATCCCATGACTAAGTGCAGGGGAGGGCAGCGGGAGGTGACCATCACTCTTCCCTTTTTCCGTCACCCCTGTTTGTGCCCACATACCTCCAGGCCCTCCACATTAGCTCCGTTTCCTAGGTGAGCTTCAGCAGGACAGACCCCCACAGGTCCTGATAGGCAGGAAAGGAGGTACAGAGGCAAGTGGGAGCCCCTGGAAATGCTGCTCTGATGACCCCTGGGCTATCCGTGCACTCCCACGTGGACTTGACTTTGACTCTGGCAACCCCCATTCCGCGCCCTCTCCAGCCGCAGGATTGGGCGAGGCACCTTTCACGTGACTCACTTCCCCTGGGCTGTGCCGCCCTAACAGATTCACTGTCCTTGTTCCGTAGAATGGAATCACGGAGAAGGTGAAAGGCAGCATTGCCACCATGCTGGCCCTGGCGTCGTCCCAGGGAGATGGTCTCTATAAAGAGCTTGCAGGTAACTACGTGAGACTTTTCTATAAGCTGGGGAATGGTGCAGTCTCCCCAGGTTGTGGCTGGTCCTTATTGAATGGAAAGAAATCAAGAGAGGGAGAATTTGCAAGGTAAGGAGTGGAGATGACGATGATGATGGTGGTGATAGTAACTGCCCTGCCCTTTGCCACGCATCCAAGAGAGACCAATCGTCACACTTAGACTCATGGAATTCTCACATTAGCTCTCAGAGACAAGGGTTATTACTCTGTTCTACATGCAGAAATACTCAGACTGGGTAGCTGGAAATACTCAGGTTTTCTAGCTAGCAAGTGGCAAATTGCAATCCACAGTTCTGGCCTGCTGTCTCTGTAAAGACTTTTTGGAGATGATGCCTCTTTCAGAAAAACTCCGTTTTCTGCTGGTCGTGAGGAAAACATCCATTATCCACAGCCCCCTGGGAAAGCCACACCAGTGTGTGTGCCCTGTGGTGGGCAGCCCCTCCCTTTCCTGCCAGGAGCTCCACCGGGCTGCCTGGTGTAGCTGGTGAGAAAAGCAGCGGGGAAGTGTTCCTCAGGACTGGACACTGAGGAAGCCGGGCCTAGTGTAGCCGGAAGGGTCGGTGGGCAGGATGGAAGAGGCAGCGAGGAGGGCGGCCTTCCAGATGCCCAGCAAGACAGAATGCCTTGGTTCCCGCTCCCCTCCTGGCCACGGCCCCATCGTGGGTCCTCGTGTGAGCTCAGGTGAGCTCATCTGGGTCATTATCTAGGGCATGGTGAGCCCAGAGGGACTCAGGCATTCAGGAGCATGGCTGGAGCCAACTCCAAGGTCAGTCTGAAGTGTCCCTTCAAAGGGACTGGGCTGATCAGGGCTCTCCAGGCAGACAGAGCCCACTGTATGTGTGCAGATGTAGAAAGAGGCTTGTTTCAGTGGGGCTGCTCACCCCATTGTGGAAGCTCAGTGTATCTGAAACCTAAGGGATAGGCGAGCAGGCTGGAGACCCCAGAGAGGGCTGCATCTGGGGCCCAGAGGCGGTCTCTGCAGAGCAGGAAGTGCCCATGGTACGGGTGCAGGGGAGGGTCAGCCTTTGTTCTCTCCAGGCCTTCAGCTGATGGGATGAGCACTGTCACACTAAGGAGAGACAATTGCTTTACTCCAAAGCTACTGTTTTGAAAGCAAATCTCATCCACAAAGGAGCATCCTAAATTTTGGCCCGGTATCTGGGCCAAACAAGTTGAACAAGTTGTTTGGTCAGAACAAGTTGACACCTAAAATGAACCATGGTGAAGACATAGTAGATTGCAGATCATGGGGTGAAAATCTGACACACACAAGGAGAACAAGTTCCCCTAGTGTGGGGGCTGGAGGAGGAGAGGGAATAAGGAAGAGAGAGCTGCCTGAGACGGCTCTGGGGAGAGCTGCTGTGTGCAGTGCTGTGTGTCTCTTCCACGCAAGTCTTCAGGGTGACCCATGACAGACGCCTTCAGATGGAGGGAGAACAGCTGGTTGGGTTCAGGGTATTTATAAAACGAGGACTCTCTGACCTCCCAGCACCGTCCCTCTTCTGGTCTTTTGGGACAAGCGACAGGTTCTTGTCCTGGAATCCTGGGCGGTTCTGAGACGGACTCTGACTTTCTCCACAGACGTGAGGAGTGAGTACAAGGAGATGGAGAAGCTCCACCGAAGTCTGAGGGAGGTTGCTGAGAACGCAGTGCTGCGGAGGGGCATGCAAGACTTCCTCCTGAGGATGTCCCCCAGCAAAGCGGCCCCCCAAAACCGAGCATCAACGCTTGAGACTTAGCCTGAAGGGGAGAAAAAACAAGACTGCAGCCGAATAATCAGAATTTTACTTGTTTTTTGAAATCTAATAAAGGACATCTCCCAGCTGTTTGGGCTCTCTTTATACACAGTATAAACCCAATATATCATTGCTTCTGGCATAATTTTATAGACACCCCACCCCTGACCCCACCCCCACCAAGTCATCGTGAATCCCTGATGGAGTTCTAAAGTTTTAAGCATAAGCAACTTACACTTCACAGAAGACAAATATCTAAGTACTGAAAAACCTAAATATTATAGGAAAATTGCAAAAGAAAGCTGTAAGGACCCAGTTCTACTTCCTACTTTAATAGTGATGAGACCTTTTTGGGAGGAGACAACATGTTGCCATGAGAAAAAACACGGAGTTTGGGAGCCAGATCAGATCTGGCTTCGCCACCTTTCAGCTGTGTTATCTAAGGCCGTGCTTCTCAGAGGACCCTCGACCTTTGAGCTTGCGTTTATGTGAGTTATATTTGACATCCACTGCAAATACTAAAACTGAAAATTTAGATGTCTATGTGTTAATTCAATTAAAAGGAACAATAATAAACCCATCACAATTTAACTTAAAGGAATGTTTTTCTGGAAAAAAGCTCTTTTCCAAAAAAATGATTTAGAAGAGGGACATCGTTTTGCACTTTTGCACATTTCTTTATTCTCTGGCTTGATAGAAGACAGCTGGATCCTTAGTTCTATTCCTATACCCAGTCTGTTGCAGTATGCCTCTTTGAAGAAAACTGTATCATGCAGGTATACATTTGGAATGCAGGCAACTATTTTTCATAGCCCCTTTAAGCTAGTTACTGGATATTCTTCTTTGATACTGCCATCTTGAAAAATAGTTTCTTAAAGGTTAGTTGCAATGTGGAACTTGCAACCTTATCAGTGGATTTGTTTTTAAATCATGTTACATTAAAGTTCAATGGATTATCTTGTACTTGAAGTGGATTTCTTTAAACCAAGGCATGGTTTTGTGGCATCTGGCATTGGTCATTTTGAAAATACTTGTTTTCCAAATTAAGCAGGTACTCCAAGTACTGACATATTTCATTGTATAGTACCACAAATCATGTTTGTTAATATCTTCACCAGTCTTATCAGGAACATCTTGAAGTACTACAAAGCTGTCAGTCAACCTCATGGTAGGAAATGCAAGTTTTAACAAACTTCAGTTTTTCCTTAAAAGCTCATCTTATCATTGGCAACAAATATTTTCAGTGAAAGGTTCATTTTCAATAAAATGTCTACCCTATAGCTGCATGCAGTTAGCCATAGTTTGTCAGTTATTTCAAGTAAAAATGATGTTCATGAAAGTGTCGAGTTGGGCTTGCAGCTGAGTCACACAGTGACTTGAGGTAGTAGAATTGCTGTAATTGCATTTTCTATTTTGTTGCACAGACTAATAAAATGGCATCTGTGTAAGGGTTGATAACTAGAATTAATCAGTTATTCTGTTTTATTAAGAAAATTCTTAAGAGAAGCAAGATTTTTTTTAGATTGCAGTTACATAAAGGTGAAAATGCAATAGTTACAAGTATAGTTTGTTGTCACTACCTTTGCTGTGGTTAACATATAGATGATTTTATCTCTTTGCTTTTACACCTTTAGTGCAAGGGCCAACATGGTTAAAAAAGTAACTCCTCCCCTGGCCTTTGTCATAGATTTTACTTCACATGTTATACAATATTATATGTAATCATATGCTACTAGTTATGTAATATTACTTGAAGATAGAGTATGATGAGGGTATAGACTATATACCTAAGAGCAACCACTAGATGAACAGACATATCTGGCAAGACACTAAAAAGAGAAAATAGAATATTAAAATATTCAAATAATCCAAAAGTCACAAGGAAAATGCAGAAAAGGAACAAAAATCAGAAAGTACAAATTGTAAACAAATAACCAGATGGTAATTTTAAACCTAATCAGATAAATAATCATATTAAATGTAAATGGTCTAATTCACAGGCAGAGATTATCAGATTAAAATTTTTAAAAGTATACCCTAACTCTACAAGAAATCTAATTTACATGCAAAGACATAAGAAGGTTACAAGCAAAAGGACAAAAGATATATATTTTCAAATACTAAAGATGATGTTTCTATATAAATATCAAACCAACACAATGAATGTAGTGATTATGTACCACAAACATGGACTAAAAATTTTTTTAAAAATATTTTAAAAGTGTGTTATGTACATGTACCAACTCCCCACAATGAATGTAATCATTATGTACTGCAAATATGAACTAATAACAACTTTTAAAATGATAACAAAATTCACACTAAAAAATACTAGACCAAGTAAATTTCAGGAAGAGGGATATTATCAGGGATAAAGAAGGTCACTGCATAGTGATAAAGTGGTTAATTCATCAAGATGACTCAATAATCCTACCTGTGCATGTAATAAAATTTCAAAGCACAAAAAGTAAAAGCTGACAGAACTCAAGAGAGAAATAGCCAAATCCACAATGTTAGTTGGAAATTTCAACATCCTCTCTTAATAATCAATAAAACAAATAGAGAAACTTAGTAAGAACACAGAAGACTTGAACAACATATGAACCAACTTACCCAATGGAGATTTATACAACACTCTACTGGGGCATCAGAGTACACACTTCTTTCTCTTTTTTTTTCCATGATATAAAATTTTTATTGGTATGTTAAGCAGTTCAAGTTATTTAAACATTGCTTATTCTGTATCTTTTTCATTGAAACACTAAATATCAAGAATCACGCTTTATGTATTTCAGTACTTATCCAAGCAGCTAGAATTGCGTGCATGCATTCATGCATTCATTCAGCAAACATTCATTCAGCAAACAGAATGTAAGCACAGTCATTTCTAGTGGGGGAAACATTTACCTAGACAGTTTAGTTTATTACCTGCATCATAAACTAAGTCTTAACAAATTAAGAAAGATGTACATATACAGAAGATGCTCTCTGATCACAATACAATTAAGAAATCAATAAATCTAAAAAATCTCCCAATATTTGGAAATTAAACTCCACACTTCTAAGGAACTTATAGGCCAGGTGAAGGGTGTGGGCTCATCTTCTTCAATTAGTTTTGCCCAATTAAAATTACTTGATTACTATCAGAAATTAAGGCCCAAACTCCAGCTAAAGCTGAGGGAAGGGGGCTGTTTCGACACTCTGGAAGACTGTGCAGGAGCTGTTGAGCAGGAGGACACCTCCGCTGCAGGGGGCAAGCAGCAGGAAAGAAGTTAGGGCTGACACTGGCATAAATCCAGGAGAGTGGTTCATACTGATGGAATAAAAAATGGAAAACCTTTAACACCAAGGTTGGAGGCAAAAAAGATTCATGAAAAGATCACAGGAAATCAAAAGTGAGGGCCGCTGGTTCAGGAAGTTGATATCTTTACGTTGCTCAGACTATACTAAGGGCTCTGGTATGAGCTGATCAGGAGAAGGGTGTAAGAGGGAGAGGCAAGGTGCAAGATCAGGATTCAGGAAACACCTTGACTCTGTAGGGGGTCAGGAGAGAAGATGCATTACCCAGAGGCCTGGGAGGTGGGCAGGGGTGTCTTTGAAACATGACTGTAAATGCCTACGCAGTACCTTCATTTTCATGTATACAGGTGCTATCATTTATTTAGCCATTATCCTAGCTTTGGACATTTAGATGATACTTTTTTTTCCTTTGTAAATGGCATTGGTGAGAACATTCTTATACATAAATGTATATGATTTTTCCCTTAGGATAAATTTTTAAGAATTCTACTACAGGGTGTGTCAGTCAGCTTTCCGTCACCATGACAAACACTTGAGACAACCAGCTTAAGACGAGAAGTGTATTTTAGCTCACAGTATTGGAAGTCCCAGTCTGTGGTGGGGCAGACAGGCTGCTTTTTCACTCTGATGGAGGGGGAGTGCGGGTAGCACACCCTAGCAGGAGTTTATGGTCGATCAAACCTGCTCACTTTGTGTCCAGGGAACAACAAAGTAAAGAGAAAAAACAGGGGCCCTCCAATTCCCTTTGAGCATGCCCCCACCCCCCATGACCTAAAGTTCTCCTGCTAGGCCCGCTTCTTAAAGGGTCGGCCACCTTCCAGCAGGACCACTCTGCAGAGCAAGCCTTTACCCCAGGCCTTTGGGAGACATTACAAACCCGAATGCCAGCACGAGGTCTAAGAGCATTTTAAAATATTTAACTGTTTTTCAGAAACACTGTCCACTTACTACTAGGGAGGAGAGTTCCTATGTCACTGAGGCCCGGGCAAAAATGGGAACAATATCGTCCTTTCCTGCAACAGATTGGAGTTTTAAAAGTATCATCTGGTACTGCTTGGGTTGTTACTGATGGTAAACATGCTTTATATTTGTTTGAATTTTTTCTATTTAAATGCTCCTTTTTTGGTCTTTTCTTTGGCTCTTCATCATTTTCTTTTTTCCTGTGAAAGAATTTCAAACTTCCAGAAAAGTTGCAATAATAGTAAACAGAACTCCCAGATGTATGGTATTTACTTGTTAACATCTTACTACATTCGCTTAGCTTTGTTGTTCGTGTGTATATGTATGTGCATTTATTGTGTGTGTTTGTGTATTCTTGTTCCGAACAACTTCAAAGTAGGTTGCATATGCCATGTCCCTGTACCACTTAATATTTTATTTTATTTTATTTATTTTTTTTATTTTAAAGAGTAAAAGAAGGATAACATAATAATAGGGGGGACTTAGCAAATTACAGACAAAATGGTAGGAAATTATCAATGGTTATTGTTTTACATATTGTTATCTACAAAATAGTTTCTCAGGAAAACAAATAGACAAATAATAGTGAGTTACAGACAAAAGAGGTAGGAGATTATCAAGAGTTGTTGTACTATACTTTGGTATCTTCAAAGTGGCTTCTAAAGAAAATAAATAGAGCTATACATGAGTGACCTATTGAAAAATCATTAACTATTCTCAATGGTTGTTGTAGGAAACACATAATAATAAACATACATCCATTTATGAAATAGGATAGGAACATTACAAACTTTACACAGTTATGGATAGATTAGTAGGAAAATATTAA